TCCATCACGCCCAATCGCACTGCAATCACGAACCACGTTGTGTTCGTTGCGGTGAACCTCATGAATCATTTAACTGTGACAAGGATAAGGCAACTCCGCCTAAATGTGCCAATTGTCATGAGATAGGTCATACAGCTAACTACAGATTATGTGTGCGTTTTCCAAAACCAAAAACCACTCCGGCTGTGAAAACGTTCTCTGATCGGGTAGTGCATAATAAAACTTATGCACAAGCTTTAAACACCGGCCTCGCTCCTGAATTTCTAACTGAAGCAAAACAAGTTGCAGCTGAGCTACGTATGCTTGTCTCTGCTCTAAAAGAAACTGGATTTACTCTGATGGCAAAATCAAACGTATCTCAAGATCATACTCCTGCAGCCCCTGTTAATGGCTAATTACATGAAAAAGTTTACTCCCGTACAAATAATGATATGGAATGCCTGCGGGCTACCCAAATTACTGAACTGCACCATTTCTTAAGTGAGCATGATATTGACATTGCAATCATATCAGAGACTCATGCAAAACCATGCCAACGCCTGAGAATTGCAAATTATAATTCATACCGTTGTGATAGACTTTCACACAGAGGTGGTGGTGTGGCAATATATGTGAAACGTAATTATGCATCTTGTCTTATATCTGATTCAAGAAATTTTAATTGTGAGCAAACTACTGTGTGTGTCACTCTTCCTGTGTTTAATAACATCAATTTTTTGTGCTGTGTATAACCCTCCAACGAATAGACTATGTGATAATTTTCTAAATAGCATTCTACCGGATGACATACCTACCCTTGCTGCCGGGGACTTTAATGCTAAGCATATAGACTGGAAATGTCGTCGAACAAACCTAAATGGTAAAATTCTCCATGAATATATTTTACAGCATCCGGTGGCGCTACATGCTTCACCAGAATACACGCGGCTTCATAATAGAATTGAATTTTCTGATATACTAGACATTGCAGTCACTACAACGACTATCCCCGTTGCAATGGAAGTATTTCATGAATTGTCCTCTGACCACCTCCCCATAATCGCAACATTAGGAGTGACAAAAACTTCTGAGTTCTCTACTAAGCGAATTATTACGAATTGGAATCTCTCTCAGCAATATCATGAAAAAATTCACCTCCTCGACTGCAAAATCTCAATATCAAACAAGGCATAAACACCGTAATTAATGCCTTAAGTGAAAGCATTCAAGGTGCAATTAAGGAAGCCAGTACTGAAATTACTAATCGTGATAAGGCTTTCAGACTGCCCCTTAATATACGACAGCTTATGAGAGAGCGAAATAGACTCAGGAATGTTATCATTTAACATGGGACCCGGCACTTAAACGTGAAATAAATCGTAAAAAATAAGCAAATTCAGAAGGCCATTAAAACCTTCAAAGAAGAACTATGGGATGATAAAATGTTAAAATCTGGATTCTAAAGAAGGTACATTCTGGTCTTTAATCAAAAATTTTAAAACTTTCTTCACAAGTAATCGACCCCTCTATGACAGAGGTAATATTGCCATCTCCAATCAGGAAAGGCAGAAATCTTCGCAGCACACCACCAAGAACAGTTCTCGCCAAATGATTGGCCAAATGACTCTGATTTCGAATTAAAAAGACCCCCCTACGAGTGAGGGATTGGCTCAATGCCCCTTCAGTCAGACTTCCAATTAAATATGCCACTCCTACTGAAACGACTAATATTATCAAACGCCTGAGACAAAAGAAATCTCCAGGAATTGATGAAATCAGCAATACAGCAATTAAAAATTTGCCGCCTAACATCATCTGCAGCCTGACAAGTATTTTTAATGCTTGTCTTGCTCTTTCTTATTTTCCAACACCTTGGAAAATTGCTAAAATTATTTTACTACCTAAACCGGCTAAAGATCACACCCGACCAGACGGATATCGTCCTATTAGTCTACTGCCGAGCTTAAGCAAAATTTTTGAGAGAATTATCCTGAATAGAATGAAACCATATTTTCAGCATCTTCCGCCGGAACAATTTGGGTTCCGTGCTCACCTCTCAACAACGAAGCAACTTGTCCGAATAACCGAATTCGCTGGTGCAGCTCTGCACTGCAAATTTAATGTTGCTATACTCATGCTAGACGTGGCGAAAGCATTCGACCGCGTCTGGCATGAGGGCTTTGTTGCTAAATTAATTGACCTTCAACTGGACAGAGAACTCATTCTGCTAATCCATTCTTTTATCAGGGATCGGACGTTCAGAGTCTCGGTAAAAAATGAATTATCCAGCACTAAAATAATGACTAGCGGTGTTCCACAGGGTTCTGTGACTGGCCCTATACTCTATCTATTCTACGTTTCAGACTTTCCGAGATTGCATTTAAATCATAATTCTATGCTAGCCTGTTATGCAGACGACACTGCCCTGGCAGTGAAGTCTGCTAACATCAATCATGCTATTCGGAAACTCCAAGACACTATTCCCTCCATAGAACAATGGTGTGGATATTGGAAGATACGAATTAACGCTCAAAAATCGCAGCTCTACTCATAAGGAAAAGGAAAAAAAATGTTCCGATCAGGCAAAGTGTTTATCTTTTTAACGAGGCTGTGCCTATCGTGAAACAAGCCAAATATCTGGGCATCACCATCAACGACAAGCTCACATGGCAGCATCACATCCAACAAATCAGGGATAAAGCGATTAAAGTCATGAAATGTTTATATCCTATGATAGGGAAATATTCAAAACTTGCGTTGGACAAGAAACGACTTATTTATCTAGTCACAATCCGACCCATCATGACGTACGCTTCGCCAGCATGGACTACCGCTACGAAGGGTGAAATCCAAAAATTACAAGTTGTGCAAAACCAATTTTTAAGAATTATTACAAATGCACACACATATGTGAAGAACAAACGTCTCCATGAAGATTTAAAAATGGATACAATAGTGGAATATTTAAGAAGAACTAACACGGCATTTTATGACGCCGCTAAGGAATGCCAACATATGGACATTTTCAACCTATTTCACTATGAAATTTTACACGAGGACAGGCACCTCCGTCCATATGCCGCTTTTCTACTCAGTGGAAACCAGGATTTTCCAACATAATTTGTGTTTTTAAGTATGTAGTACTCTGAAAAACTTATTTGACTTGTAAAAATGATGTTTAGAAATCTTAGCCGGATGATCATGTGACACACACAGCCACGCCCACAAGATATTACTTATATTTTTTCCTGTATATACTATTTTACTTTTTGGAATCGTATTTTATTTTCTTTTCTGCATTTATGACTGCAACACACACCTTTTATGAACTGATTTAGTACTATTTTATGTATAACTATTGTAAAACTTCAGATTTACAGCGCTACGATGCCTGGATACCTCATCGCCAACCAGATGTCTTATCGCTCATCACGTGACATTGGTCACACCCCGTGCATCTGCTATCCTGTCTCCACGAGAACTACTTTCGGCATTTCCTTACCTGCAGCGCTCCTAGAAGCACCAAAGTTCGATAGCCGGAACACAACCTGCGATTTCGCAGGTTAATCGCGGCAAATAAAGCAAGTTGGAGTTGGAGATCAGTATTTTTGGCAAAGAGATTGCACGCCGTATAGCAGTTAAAATCACACCGACTTGCTGCCTCAGCGAAAAATTGGCGAATAATCAATCTGTTAGACGACATCTGGATGCTTTTACCCGAGGTCGAATCATTGGGAAGTTGGAGGAAGGCCGCAGTGTGACAAGTGTGGCTGCAGAGTTCGGAATTGCTCACAGCATCGTTTAACGACTTTGGAGACAATTTCAAACTATAGGAACAGCTATCCGTGGGTTTAGTAGTGGTCGTCCACGAGGAACCACATCCACAGATGACAGGTATATTGCCTTACAAGCCAGAAGAAACAGGCGGCAGACAGCGGGAGAAATTGCTAGACACACGACACAGGCGACTGGACGACCGATATCGCGTTTTACCGTGGCCAGAAGACTGCACGGTAGTGGTCTGTTTGCGACGTACGGTCTGTACGTCGCAAACAGATGTCGCAAACAGATACTCATGTCCTTACGTATTGGGGATCTTACGGTATTAAATGTGTTGATTTGGAAAGCTTTTGTACAAAGTTATATTGAAGAAACCGTCTCGTCCATAATTTTTGCACACCAGTGTAAGAATTAAATAATAAAATTACAATAATTATTTTTGATGAAGCTAAAATTCAGTCAGTGAGAGTAAGTGCATAAAAAGTCGCAAGTTACTTCCAAGTATTCTCAAGTTTTTTTTTTTTTTTAATTGAAGTATCAGTTTTTGATGGAAATTCCAAGCATTTCTAGACTATGCTAGAATAATCCCCCCCAAAAAGGATAATCTGCATACAGAAAATAAGCAATTTAGTGTATATAACTTTTATGCTTATAATTAGAATTCACCTGGTTTAAAAAAATTCGCACTTTTCCATTATGCACCTGCCACCCGTTTTGGCGCCGATGAAAGTGAAGCCAAACACATGCCGAGACCCAACGAGAGCAAAATCTGGGGACAATGGACTATGTGTGTGTTATGCAAACAAGAGTAAATAAATACATTCATTGTAAGAATAGAACTGACAAAATGCGTGGCAGGTGCGTAACGAAAAAATACCAGAAAATTACAAGGTTCACCTCTTCAATTATCAAAACTAATAACCTCCAGACAGATTATTTCATTTAAAAGTTCACGTGCACTAAGAATATTCTAAAACTTTTGATGTGTAAATATTTATTCGTTTTGCATAGAATACTTATAACAGGTAGCATTAAATGTTATGCATGCAGATTAAGCGTACAATGATTGGCGCAAATTTACCAATCGATGAAACAGTTCAACATGAATATTTTGATCGATGGAATAATATGTATTTACCCTTTTGCCTTATGGATTTCTTACACTTGCAATCAGCTACATATTCATTTCAGTTACCTTCCAAAAACATACTAAAGTTGCCGTTTATTTCTTTAATAAGATTCCATCGTGAAGAATCATTCTCTAAGTGCTTTCGAGAAATACTTATATGTTTACTGGAAGATGGATGATGAAGAAGAGAAGACTATTTTGCAGGTAATCTTTTTAATTCCCAAATTTTAAAATGGGGCGGACTATAAATTTGAGTAAAGTTATGCCAAGATTTTAGTAAATTTACGTATTTTTATTACAGACCTCACATATTAATTCATACGGGTAATCAGATTTTTAACGCAAGATTTACCTAAATAGAAATGAATAAAACAACTGCTTAGGTAACATGTAAGTTGTTCGCAAATGCTCAGTTGAGATTATAAGGTATTTCTCCCACCTTCCTAGCGTGCCTTCGGGGTGTAACGGTAGCATGCTGGGCTGGTATTCCAGAGGTCCATGGTTCGATTCCCGGCGAAGGCGTTTGCTATTTTTCATCTTTTCTGCCTCTAAGAAAATCCTAATGACTCTACAAGATAATTTATAAAAGGAATATATCAAATGAAAGTACTGAAGGAAATCTGATACGCCGAGAAATAATTAAAAAAAGCAAACTAAAAACTTACTCTGTTGAAATAATATGTAACAAATGGTCAGTTTCATTCCAGAGCTCCACCAATAATAAAGTGGGAGACTGGATAGTGTGTAAGGTATCTTATGAATATTTATTAAATACTCAATCTAGAGTACTTTGAAGGTAACACAAAAGAAACTGTATTTTCTAATATGAAAGCATATAAAACAAATAAACAATAAAGGATGTGCCTCAATTAACAATTTTGATAATTTTTAAGATCTCTCATCATTTTAACCGAATCAAACTTTCAAACTGGAGCTTTGAAGGAGATTTAAAATTTTCTAATAGAATTAATGTAGAAGTGTTCACAACAAATTATATATTAAAAAATATTAATACGCGAGCTAGGACATTTTGAGAAAGATTCAAATTTTCTAATAAAATGCCTTAAAAAGGAAGATTAAAATTGTCGATAAAATTTTTTAAAAAAATTGAGAACACCTGCAAGGAAATGACAACGCATAAAACATTAAAAAATATGTCTAAATTGTAGGTTTTTTAAAACAAATGATTAAAAAAAATCTAGGATTTAATAAAAAAAATGATCAAAAGTTAAATACATGAAGCAATAAATTATAAAAATTATATTTTTGAACAAATATTTTAAAGCATAAAATAATCCCACGAAAAACCAACTCTGTATCAAAAAAAAAAAAAAAAGTAATAAGCGATCTTACGAGGTGAATGTACGATAATGTCTCAGTGAATGCATGATAATGTCGCAATCTTTTACAAGCGAATGGTTTTCTCTGCTGTATGTAGTTTATCTTTTAATAAATAAAAGCAATATATTCTTTTGCCGAACTATTGATCATGAGAACAGCGATTAATTGGTCTTCAGCGTTCCAATTCGACTTCAGAATGTTTACTTTCCTTTTTAAAAAGTTGGACCTTCACAATTTTAAGTCTTTGATAAAAGAAATCGTCTGAAAAGAGAAAAAAATCATCTGAACTCTTGATTTAAAATTTTGGTACTTTCCGTTTCGCCGGCGCAAATCTCGCCAAGCAGACTTTATTGGCGACAACATACAGTATACACATAAAAAATATTAAAAAAATATTAGTTTCTAAGAATTCTTTTAAAAAAAGAAGGTGTAAAACATTTTAATATCGCTTAAAATTTTATAAAAAGGCAATAAATAAAGAAAATAAATTTGTAAAAAGAGATTAATTTAAGAATTTACTATGCTTTCATGGTTCAACATCCTGATTCGCCGGTTCATATCATGTGACCCCAAGCGATCTCATCTCACGTAAACTACTCTACAAAAATCTAATGCTCTCAGTAATTATCTACATTCATTTCAAGTTAAATCTTAATTTGGAACAAAGTTTAAATGCAAGAAATATTTCAATTCGTACGAATAGCTTACTCAGAAATTATGTAAAAATGCAGTGCTTTACTTCGCTAATGCATTCTCATTAGAATGGATGAATTTAACCCTTGACTTTACCTTTTCTATATTTTCGGCTTCGGATAAGTGCTGTGATTGCATCCCCAATTGACTTAATTACCGAAAATGGCCTTAGACATAAACTGAACTATCTGATAAAAATTCTATGTATTCTATATGCCAGTATTGTAAGAAACAACCAGTCTGATAAGAAAAAGCTGCGACTTGTTTTGAAAATGATTCGTAAAAGGTTACCAGCGAGAATATTCCGTTTGGCATCAGTTGTACCGTTATTGGCGACTTTATCGCTTGCGCCGGCAAAACGGAAAAGTACCAAAATTTTATTTTACGTTTTCGTCCTTGAAATAAGATTTTTATTGCTTTTCAAATTTTTTATGTTCATAACTCTTAATAACTCGATTTTAAAATTAATTCGTCATACCCAGATCATAAATCTTTTCCATTTATTTAGAAATAAAATATGGCTTATATATTATTAAACCTTTACCCGTTATAGAGAGTATATTTCAGAATTTGTCATGAACAAGAGATATAATATTTTCCAATGCTTCATTACCAGTCTCGGTTAAAATGTCTTTCGATGGTATAATTTGATTATAATCTAACTGAGTTCTTCCTTTCCGGATAACAACACTAGAAGAATCGATAAATGATATTTACAATCATATCCCTGAGTTAACGTTGCAGACTGCAGGAACTGTAGAAAATACACATAATACACATAAGTTTAAATATTTATTCGTAATTATTCTATGTTTTATTTATAATTAGTTCACATCAAGTGATCTTCTCGGAGCTGAGGTAATTTAAAAATTAACCATAAATTATGTAAATGACATTAGTATGTATCATTCTTAAAATGTAAAAGATGTTTCTCAGTGAAATTAATGTTGCTTGAGATGCTATAAGGAAACTTCCTCTGCAATTGAAGAATCCAACAGAGATATATTGAATCATCTTAGCTTGAATCTAAATCCGACTTCCAGAAAAGCCATTTGAGGGAAGATTCTAATTAATTTGCTACAGCAGTACGCTAAATTTGTCTTACGGTTGCATAGACAAGAACCGTGATCGCTGCCATATCTTACATTGTCTCCAGAAAAATTATCAAAAAAACACTCGCTTTCAATGCTATTTTGTTTCTACGGAAAATTATTTTTAATACACCCTTATTTTGATAGCTAATTTTATACACAAATATAAAGTATATACAGCTTCTAGCAATACAATTTATTGTTCTATTCCAATTTGTCTGTATATCGTTGAGATGATTAAGGATGCTGAAGTGTACAGATATATACGATTAATATACTTGTAATAATAAACTTTCTGTGGTTAATTTGAGTTTAAAAGTCTGACAGCTATGACATAATAATTATAATCTGCATAATGTTAAAGAATAGTTACGATTGACGCCCTTTATCAGACCTTTTGCATTCTAAAATGATAGAATATTATAATGAATGGTCGTTCTAACGATAGTAGATTTAATTCAGCAGTTCAGATGCTTCGTACTAGTCATTGTAGGGGTACATTCGATATAACGGCGGCCATTATATGAAGAGTGAACTGCATAATTCTACTAATATGAGAGATTAATTATAATTTTTATAATATGAGAAATAGGTAAAACTCTTTCTCTTAATAATGGCAATAGTTTTCAACTTTAAGCATATTTAGCGTATATTTTTAGGTGAATAACAGTGATGAAGAACCAGTAAGCAGTTCAAATGAGAATGATAATCCTGAGAGTAAGGAAAACGATGATAAAACTATCAATGTCGTTAACGACGAGGATGTCAAGTCCGACATAAGTAATGATTTTCCTTACAAATTACCAATGCTCCCTCACAGAAAATCTGTGCTTGAAATACAGCTTAAAAAAATCTTACTTGATGAGTCTCACGTTAAAGAAAAAGATTCTGCGTTAGAGCATATTAGAAGATTATCTCATAGTATTCAGGGAGAGAGTTCAGCGATACGGAAGTTATCTTTGATGATGGAAGAAGAAAGTAAACCAGAAATTAAATTACTCGAAGTAAGTGTAAAATATTTTAAGATATAATTGTTAAATTTAAGATGTTTCATTTGCAATACTGTAAGATCTGGTCTTCTTGGCTTTCATAAATTTAACATGATCTTGCAAGGAAACCTGGCGACTTCGCACAGGCGTGAATAATGCCAGCACAGAAGAAGGGTAAAATAACTCTTTATTATTCGTCAAACTCTTAACACAAATGCACGTACTTAGTGCTCACAATAACACCGATGACTCACCGTGGAATTTAATAATACGTTAACAATAAATTCAAAGATAAATATTAGTGTTGGATTAACAATTTGTTTTAAGGCTAACTAAACAACCTACCCGGCGATATACTTATTAAATGGCCTAAAAGCATATCAGAAACTCAGCGTAACAACAGCAAGGACAAAAATAATAACATGCGCTGGCTAGCGAAATTCTGCTCTAAATAAACTACTACTGTTTTTGCATTCTCTTCACTTAACTTTAAATTTGCATCCTGGCGAGGAAATGCGAGGGAAAATTAGGGGTAACAAACAAAAAACTTAAAATGATAACAAACTTTAAATTATTTTTTATGCAAACTAAGGAAACCCTGCAAGCTCCTAATGTAGAATTTCTCATTTATCACAAAAATTTAATATATAAATAAATATGTATTTTACAAAACTACTGCATACATATTTTTGATAATCATAATGCAAGTTGGCTTATACAAATAGTAAATCATAACCATAATAATAGTTCATTAAATAAAGACAAGCATTTGAAATAAATAGTGACTGATAAATAAAAAAAAAATGTGTTTATTTAATTAACAATAATTATTTAAATTTCCTTGATAGACATACAACACTGTGATTAGCTTTAAAAGTGCAGACTTTTTTCTAAAACTTTATATTTCCTAAATACATTTTTGAATATATGTGTTAAAAGCCTTTTTTTTTCTTTATACTTTTCCCTTTTAGATATCGTATTTCGTTTCTCAATAGCAAATAAATAATAAAATCTAATAGTATCCTATAAGTCATTAAAGGAAGCTACAGTTGCTAATTTTATCATTTCAAACAGGATATTTTGTTTAAATTTCAACAAAAGATATTTTTCTTTTGAATCATTACCGTATTTATTCACATATTTCCCTCCTTCCATATTCCTAACTTTGCTTTATTAGTAAAGGTGTCTGAATTTTCTTTAAATATTCAGGTGTTTTTCCCTTCCTCAAGGCATTCCGAAAGTCAGCTTCTCTAAACTTTAAAACAGTATTTTGGTCTTACTAATTGATTTTCCCTTGTATTTTGGGTGCTTAGGCTCTGTCTGATGAAGAACTTCAGAAAAAAGGGATACCTAAAAATGTATGCATTAAATTTCACCTGCCTTCTTAACACGCCTTGGTGGTGTAGTGGTCAGCACGCTCGACACGTATTCGAGAGAACGGTGGTTCGAGTTCCGGCGAGGGCATTGCTCATTTTTCACATCTCCTGCTTTAAAAAAATACCTTATGTCTCTATACTCTCTGAAAACCAAGATCTTCGGTCACCTGTTTGCTTGAAATGCCAGTTTTATTAAACTATCTGATAGTTTATAGTAATATATAATAAATAACGGATATATAGTAAATATATGATAGAAATATACATAAACATATTACTGTATATAAATATAGTAATATATTTATAGTAAATACCTGATAGTTTGCTAATGCAATTTATTTTAAGAATTAAAGGAACTTACTATATATATATACATTAGAATTATTGTTTATTATATATATATATATTAGAATTATTGTTTATATATATATATTAGAATTATTGTTTTATTATTCTTAGGTTTCGATAGAGCAACCTCTTATTCCAGAGGTGAAAGAACGTGATCCAAAAGAAATAGCTTTTGTACGAAATCTTCCGGTCTCCATGAAAGAAAAAAGGATGTATCTGTAAGATGATTTTTCATTTTTGTCATTGACAGAAAACTAATAATTTACTTAATTTTAATTAACTCTTCAGTGGTTATTACTATGATGGGGGATGAACAAACGGAAAGCATTTTTTTAAATTGTAAATTCTGGAACAATACTAAAATTTAACACCGCTGGTCGTGGCCTTCTAAAATGGGCTCAGTGCGCCCAATTTAAAATTATACCGTTGGATTCACCCACACGATACGATGTGCGGAGAGACTCTTCTTATATTAATTTGGCTCTTTTTCGAAATATTCCTTTTGACTATCACGTGACTGTGGAAAGTTATCTATCCTCAAAGCACAACCTCTCACTCATCGACCTTAACTGTAATTCTTTTAATCAAAATTCTCCGGCTTTCGTCTCTACAAATTGGGACAATTTTCGATATAAACTTAACAATAAAAGTTTTCACCCCCTCGAAATTAAATCTAGTGGTGATATTGACAAGGCTGTTGATCAGTTAACTTCTACCCTCACAGATACTTTTAAAGAAGTATCAAAACCCACCCTTCGCCCCAATTTTAATAAACTTCCAGCTGAAATTTGCGAAAAGAATAAAGTACGATGGCTTTCGCAAAGAATTAGAAGTCCTAACTTAGAATTACAACTTCGTACTCCCCAAAATGAGATCAAGGCTTCATGTGACCAGTTCAACCAATCACGATACTCTAAGCACATTCAGTCCCTAACGACCACAGTCTTTGGCGTGCATCTGCCAGACTTCGCAAACACAAATCTCACATTCCGTCCTTAGCTGAGGACGCAGTGGTGGCTCATACAGACACGAAGAAAGCTGAATTAATTGTTGACAGTCTCCAAACACAATTCACATCGCATGATGAAGGGACTTTTGCTAATGTCGCAAATTCCTTCCAACAGATGTTGAAAGATTTCTAAACTCTTCATGTCAGAGAGACATACAATATACAGCCATGCACGAAGTTAGCGAATATATCGCTAAATTAAATCTTAAGAAAGCTCCCGGATTGGACTCTATTTCTAATCGCTTGATTAAATACCTACCCACCAGCTATCTACTTTTCTTAGTAATGCTCATAAATTATATGTTACTGCATTGCTATTTTTCTCAAAGCTGGAAGAGAGCACTTATTGTGCCTATTCCGAAACCTGGACAGTGCCATTAAAATCCTCAAAATTATAGACCTATCAGCCTCCTATCTGCGTTATCAAAGATTTATGAATTTGTGCTACTTAAACGTCTGAATGATTTTCTCCGGAGCCAAAAAGTGCTTATTGATGAGCAATTTGATTTCCGAGCAAAACACTGCGCAACGCACCAGCTTCTGAGGACAGTGGAGTTCATTCATGAAGGCTTTCGTAGAAAAATGCTTACTGGCGCTCTTTTTCTTGGCATAGCCAAAGCATTTGATAGGACTTGGCATACGGGTATTATTTATCAAGCTCATGCGACTTGGTATTCCGGCTCAACTTATTCACATAATTAACTCGTATCTCACTAATCTTTCCTTTCTCAGTACGAGTTAATTCTATCATTTCGGCTCCCCGTCCAATCCCAAGTGACGTAGCTCAAGGTAGTCTACTTGGACCAAGTATATTCAACATCTTTATCAACGACATTCCAAAATCATCCAGTATTACTCTAGCACTCTATGCAGATGACACGGCCATCCTAACAAAACACAAACATTTGAATGTTCTGGTTCACAATCTTCAGAGTTATCTCCATAGCCTTGAGCATTGGCTCATTACTTGGAAAATCAAAATTAACGTCATTAAACGTGCTGCCATGATATTCACACGCTCTCGAATCCCGTACCCTACCATTAATTTAAAGTTCTTCGATGACTATGTCCCCTGGTCAAATTCATATATGTATCTAGGAGTGATACTTGATTCCAAATTAATCTGGCATCTTCATATTGATTATACACTCAATAAAGCGGAACCGTCAGAACCCAACTTTACCCTCTTCTAAGCTGAAAGAGCCCTTTGTCAATTAAAAACAAAGCTCTTCTCTATACTTCCATCATTCGACCAATATTTTTGTATGCTTGCACCATCTGGGATACGCTTCAAAAACACACATAAAAAGCTTCAAGGCTTTCAAAGTAAGACCCTGCGCTTAGTCCTTAATGCAGCGTATTATATCCATACTGATGTGATTCATTCGGATCTTAACATTAAACCCGTAGACGTTGTTATTAAAAAACTTAGTCAAACTTTAAAATTTATTTCTCAAAATTGAACAGATTGATCACTGTACACTTCAACAGTTACCAGCCTACGATCCTGCTATTCGCAGCTCGCAGAAAAGACTTTGTTCCATCATCGGATGCGAATACGGCATCTATCCTCCAGCTTAAAGACGTAGACACGCCCCTTTCTTCTCAGTTCCAGCGCCCCGCCCATGAAGGACGTACTGCCATGTAATTGCTCTGCCATAATTGCTTTCTCCTACTCCAATATTACTGAAAAGGCGGCCCAGTCGGTATAGTGGTCAGGGAAGTTACTGCGATACCGAAGGGCCTGGGTTCGATTTCCGGAGAAGGCATGGTCGCCCTGTTATAGGAAAGGCGATGGTAGCCCACCTATTAGGTGTCTCCATAATAAAGAGACATTTATGGTTAGTTATGGTTTTCTACTAAATTTTTTATTTATTCGCTTATAGTCTCCAGAAAATGCATATTAGCTTAGAATGAAATAATAAATATGCATACATAGATATTGAATCCATAGGTATATGGATTCAATGCTTGATCGTTGCCCCTCTTAGTACAATTTTTCTATTAAGAAGGCATTACAGTATCTCACTAATACTTTATATCGGATTAAAACTGTCAGGTTCGTTATTTAATTGCAGAATTTCTAGTTGATGGAAAATTCATTTATCCTCTCTTTAGTTAGAACAAGAAGTGCTAGGTATACTTTTTGGTGAAGATTCTGGTATTGCTGGAGTTGTAAACTGTTGCTAATACCATCGGTTCTCCACGATCTGAATATAATTTTATTTAATTTTTAATTTATTTAACTTCAGGAGTGTTTAAAGTTTTAATTATATTTTTACGCTTGGTATATAACTTTATATTTGATTTGTACTTCTCTGAAAACGAGCATTCACTAGACATAGAGAAATCCAGCTAAATTAAAAGATATCTTTACATGAGCGTTTAAGGCTAGAATTTGAATTAACGTATTTGCCGGCGTATAAGACGTACGCACTTTTTAATACACATTTTTGAAGGATAAAACTTTATTACTGATCATTATAGCGAATTTACGGTATTTTAAATATAAAGTAATACGAATACAAAATAATCCTTTCTGCAAATACCCAATCTATTCTGGGAAAGAGCACCTTTTAATCTTCGTCAAAACCCAAACACTCATCTTCAGAGCTAAATGAAGAGCATTTGAAATTTCACACCGTTCACAAAAACTGGAAAGTTTAAACAAATCTGTCTGTGATCGTCGATGACAGCGCATACGCATTCACTGAACCCTACGTAACTGTAATATCCCACACTCCGCATGAAAACAAGAAAAAAAAAATCGCATAACTCCGAATAGAGGGAATTTCCAGAAATAAATGTAATCAAAAACTGAATACAGAAGTATAAGACGCAGTATCGGCGTATAAGACGTACCCCGTTTTCAAGACCTATCTTCAAAGAAAAAAAGTTGCGTCTTATACGCCGCAAATATGGTACTTAAAAGAACACGAAATTAGAGGATGTTGTTAGGACTATGTCAGACTGGAAGGAAAAATACTTGCACTTGAAAGTACTGAATATTTTTAACTGTAATAATTAAAAATATTTTAGCAACTCAAAACGATTTAGAAGCAAGCAGTTAAATAAAAATAAATGAAAAATAAATAAATATAAAAAATCTGAAAGGTTTCAGATTTTAAATTACTTCCAAAGGGGCGTTTTTTTAACGTTTTGTGTGTTACCTTTATTTATTAAATATCCTGTTCTTTGCTCTTAAACCATAAAATTCAGTTCAATAGCAATGTCGCAAAATAATTTTAAAATGAGCCTATATTTAGAATTTCCGATACACAGTTCCGCGCGCTAGAGATAAAAAGGTTCCCCCCCCCGTAGAGTGTTGCCATTCCTCGCTTTGAAATCCTTGCTGCGTTTGTTAATCAAATATTCGTTAAATTTTTACAAAATATGAAATCGATAATAAAACAAATTCCAAATTTCAAATTCGGTCTTGCACATGCCCATATTCGTAGGAAAATTACGTCATTCAAAATTCGATGGCACTATGTGCCGTTGTTTTATCACAATGCAACAAATATACATACATTTACGCAGATTTTCATTACTTAATTTCTTCGAATGTAATGCAGGACTCTAACATCTGGTGGTAACAGTTTGAAAAGTGAAAAGATATTTATACTGATTCAACTCAAAATCGCAAAACAAAAGCAATAGTCCTTCATGGACAAAGCCCCTTTTGACAAATAAATGAAAACCATTTGCCAATTGACCTAACAATTCCTTAATACTGGCACTCTATTCTTTTAATGCTGGATATTATTTCGAAGTGTAACAATAGCAATTTATGATAAAGATACTAAGAGTCGTAGCTGAGTAGCGTGGAGTCTTGCCAGAGCCGCAGAGAGGTTTTTCAGCGCCTGTGGAAAACTGAAGATTTCGTGTTACCTTCCTGTTAGTCAAGAATGGAAAACATTTTATTCTAAAATTAGATAAAATCAGTGAGCCCTCCCTGGATCTTGCCCTTGGATGCTCCGCCTTGCCTCACCCTAGCTACGCCACTGAGCGGCCTGGAGTAGCGAAAGTGCTCTTGCACATCTGTGCAGCGTTCTGGCATCTCTGCTGCGAAAGTGACTAGCTTCAAGAAAGCGTACAGTTTTCTCTCTGGCCGAAGAAGAGGCAGCTGATTGGTTAGGTTAGCATTTTTAATGCAAGCTTGAGAAAAGGTTAGAAAGTGGACTTTTTCAAACAAAGCTTAGTTTTAAAGGGAAAACCAACAAAATCATAATCAGATTTAGTAAAATCATACAATACTGGGGAAGAATAAAATGCAACAAATACTGAAGCAAATAAATAAGTAACTAAATTAAAATGAAGAATGATGCTAGATAAAACACGTGACTGTCCTGGATAGTCACCTTCCCACGTACAGATCATGAATTAATGCTTGGTTTTTGGAGCAAAAGAGATGCTAAAAAGCTCTTTCTAGCCGGTTACAGCCGAAAACATCGCGGCAATATCATCGCGGACGAAAACGTCGCGGAGGAAAGAACGCAAGGCAAAAACGTCGTGCTACAAAACATCGTGGGAGAAAACATCGCAAAGAGAAAACATCGCAGTTCTAAAACATATTGGTACAAAACATCGTCGTCGAAAATAGAGCAGTTCAAAAACTTCGTCGTCGAAAATAATCGGGGTAAAATATAAAGTATCTACAAATCATCGCATGACGATAACATCGCAGACATGCTTTTTTTCAGGATTTAATGATTGTAAATGGATATTCCCCCATGATTATTTGTGAGCGTAAACTGAAAGAAGGATAATTTTTACTTTCATATTTTTTATTAACTAATAAATTTTTGCTGAGAAAATAAGAAGAAAACTTAAGCATATTAAATTAATGCAACTTATAGCACTTAATAGAATTTTAAACCGACATAGTTAACTAATAAAGGCCATTAATAAATCATTGTTTATAAAGTTTTCACTGGTAATTTTTCATGAAAAGTATAACCTATAAGTCGCATTTAATTTTCTATGCTTAAGTTTCCTTCTTACCTTTTCAGCAAAAATTTATTAGTTAATAAAAAAATGTGAAAGTAAAAATTATCCTTCTTCATACTCGCGCTCACAAATCATTATGGGAATATCCATTTACAGTTATTAAAACCTGAAAAAAGCATCACTGCGGTGTTATCGTCATGCGATGATTTGTAGACACTTTATTTTTTACCACGATATTTTCGACGACGATGTTTTTAAACTGCGACATTTTTGAACCGCTTTATTTTCGACGACGATGTTTTGTACCACGATGTTTTATAACTGCGATGTTTTCTCCCACGATATTTGTAGCACGATGTTTTTGCCTTGCGTTGTTTTCTCCGCGATGTTTTTGCCGCGATGTTATCGGCGGACACCTTCTAGCCTGATACAAGTTATCTTCCTCTTAAAACAGAACGATAGCTATAATCACCTTCAAGAAAACAAATCACCCAGACGAATTAAGTGGAATGATAAAAATAATTATGAGAAAGGTTTGTACCAAATTCAGAAAATTCGGATAATTAAAACCGTTTCTTAAGGCTGACTGATTTTAAAGAAGGTGAAAGTTAGTTCAGTTTTGATGTAGTATTTCAGTTTACTTCAGCAGATTAAATAGCCTGAATGTCCGAGTTAGCAATTATTAAGAATAAGAAATAGTTAATTTCTTCTTTTTCTCTCTTTTTCTCTTTTTTTTTTTTTTTTTTTTTTTTTTTTTTTTTTTGTTCTTTTTTTTTTTTTTTTGGGGGGGGTGTAAAATTATGATTCTGAATGGGAAGTTTTTAAAGATATTTTTCGCTGAAAATGTATGTTAATTCGCAATTACATGGAATATTAAAAATGATTCAAGAACTCAAATAAGTATAGTCTCTGAATAATTGAAAAACTGAATTTAAACAGGAAAAAAATGACTCAATAGCTTCAACTTATATAATCCTACCAGCTTATTAGTTAGTTTTTAAACCAACCTATTAGGCATTCCTCAGTGAATGTTAACAAAGGTAAAAGATGCAGGGAAGTTGATGACTTGTGGTTGTTGATGTCGTCTTGTCCATGTTACATGGAACAATGGTTACCAAAGTTCAACTGACTTCGAATTAGGAATCTTGAGTAGCGCGCGTTTGCCTTTGGGTTACGTCTCAACATTCCATGTTATATTCGTTAGCTGTCCATGTTCTTCGTTGATTCGTGTTATATTCGGTTCGCAATATTTTCGGTTCAGAAAAAAATAAGTCCTCCATTTTTAGCTTTCCTGCTTCATCTTGAGTTATGGTAAATTCTTCACTACGACCAGTGACATTAATTGTGAAAAGGTTGTGCAGATCGAATCACAAAGAGTAACATTTCATTTCAATTAAAAAAAAATAAAAAAAAAAAAAACTTCTGGGAAGAATTTCATTCACAATGAAAGTTATGGAGTACGTTAGAAATATAAACGGTTTCAGTGTATGAATTGGGATATTTGTATAAATTCTGAAATATACTGTTTTCAAGGAGATGAGGAAAAGAATTAATAATATAAGGTTTGGGAAATTTTAATAGGCCCTTGTCATTCCTTTTTCGTCGAAATAATAAACTCTTAAGTTAGCAATTTCATTATGTTTTTTAACTATAGTATTTCTATATTTCTGAAACCAACAGTCATCTTTTTAAGCACTTTCGTAACGTACTATAGGATTATTATTGAATTTTAAGATTATAGTTTGTTTCTATACCATTATTACGGTTTTAAAGAAATTGATTTGAACAAACTTGATGATTAATAGAATATCTCTACAACTAAATCACTATGGTATCTATGTTATGCACTTTTTATATATTACATGATTATAGTCAAAATAATTAAGAATAAGATATTAAGGTTGCTTAGATTTATTTTAATATTTCAGAAGTGGAGTCATATCTGCTGGAAAAGAGTCATGGATAACAAATGTAATTATTTCGTTTCTGAACTAATAATTTCTTCTAATTTCTCATCTGTTTATATATTTCAGTTTGATGGATAGAAACAATGCATCTTTTTTACTCTGAATAGTTTCTTTTTATTAATAAATGAATATTTCCAAAATATTAAATAAGTAACGTTTTCTTCTGTCATCTGTACAAAACAACTTGCTAATATTATGTCGAATTTTTAACTCGTCTACCTTTAGAGCTCACTTATAGTTTTCTTTCATTGCATTTAAATATACGCATCCTCCATCTGATATTAGTAATTTAAAACATTAATTTTTAACACAGAAATTTTCACAAACAGTGCGATATTACACATAGTTAAAATCATAACGGATACCTTCTTTTTTCTGCGTGACTTACTTTGACAGAAAATCATCAACAACTATAACTCAAATGTAACATAATTTAAAGTCTACCGTTATCTAGATTGAAATTCAAAAGAACAGCATAATTATAGGAATAATATATATGTTTTCTCTTAGTAACTATCAGAATGGTAAGAATTAGTTACTAGTATTCACTGCGTGATGTCTAAAGCCTATTGGAAGAAACTTACGATGTTACAATAGTGCAACAATAATTCAAAACGTAAAAAACACCAACTCATTCGGCCGCCACAGAATTCTCGAGAATCTTTCTTAGACCAATCTAACTCTTAAAAACAGGAACTGGCCTAAAGACTTCATTTATAACAGGTACACTGCGTAAAAAAAGAAGGATAGTTTTTATATCTCCTCTTCTACTGGTAGGATTGACAAAATTAAAATTGCGTTTTTCATGCACGAAGCACGAGTTCTCGAAAGCACGACTTAGGATATATATCAGATTTATATATAGCATTGTTCTAACGTAGTTATTTTGACACAAAATATCCTGCGCTTTCGTGACATATGATAATATAAGTTGAATTTCGCCAATCGTCCCAGGAGAACGGGAGATATAGAACTGTCCTCTCTTTTCTTCTTCTCTTTTTTTTTTTTTTTTTTTTTTTTCCCGCAGTGTACAGTGGCGTTACAGTATTTGCTACAGTTTTTTCTTCCACTCCCCAAAACAGAGAAAGCTACTCCATTTCGAAGATATTTAAGGAAAGCTAGGTTAAATTTTAAGAACTGAATGATTACCTGTATCCAGAATTAAACAAGTAGTTCTCAGAGTTTCTTATAATATACCAAGTAAGAAAGATGCGTTTATACATATTGTGGACCTTGCGTGAAGCTTGGTTTGATATTTGTACACATTTTTAGAACAATTTCGGGGCTGTTAAATTAAAGTTAAAATATAAAATTATTTTTGTAAATGTTCGATATGATAGACTTTTTTATAGATTATACATTCGTATTGTGATTTTCGTGATAAAAGGCTTTTCTTAAAATCTTTAGGAGTATAGATTTCCATTCCTTTCCACTATTTTCCAAAACCCATCAATCTTGGTGAGCTTTGGAGACAGCTCTTTTCAAAGACCAAAGACACAGCAGATTATAGGTGAAACGTCATGAGAACATTGCAGGAATATTTGAAAACGTATATATGCAATATATGTATCAATATTAATTCTTTTCAAGGAATGCAGTGAGGCTTTTGGAAGTATGACTTCTAGCCTCGTTTTGATGAAGTTTCGCCCTTTAAAAGCCATTGGGGGTAAAGAAATATAATTTTTTTTCTGTAAATATTGGACTTAAAACTTTCTTTTAATAGTACTTGGAGTTGATTTTAACATTTTCCTTCCTTTTCGTGTTTTTGATATTCTACTGTAAGACAATTCACGCACAGCAATTTTATACGATTCTAACATGGTATTTTTTATATTGCTTCGTTCGTGCGCCATTCACCTGATTGCTGAAAGCAAATTTCATAAAGTTATGAAATATGCTTTTGATTTAGAAAGCGTTTTTTAGGGATGGAAAACAACGCGTTTTCAGTGATTCTGTTATTCTCCTAACTCTCTCATTCCTTTCAGAAGGACTTGCTTTTTAGAAGCCCTGATTCCTTTTAGAAGGAGAGAGTAAGACTTCGGCCACTGACACACATTACTGTTTTGGGAAAAAATTCAGCATTTGAAAAACAACTCGAGAAGTTATGGTACTGAAGTTTGTTTGTTAACATACCTCATTATTAAACGACGATCGAGAAGCGTCAGATATCTGACTTGATTAGCGCATTGTTCATCGGTGCTACTACAGCATAATTCATATTCAATGCCTTCTCTGCATTTCTTAAACATCTGATATCACTCAAAACTTTTGTTTTTAATAAGATGTTTTTCTCAAAGGCGTTTTACAGCTGTCACTTTCTGTAGCAAAAGTTTACCTTTGCAATAAATTTATTGCACATTTTAAATATATCATTTTCGATATATTTAAATCAAATTAACTTCTGCAGCCTCAGATTTAGCTTGTCGTTATTTCTTAAAAAAAAAAAAAAAAAAAAAAAAAAGAACATTCCATCCAAAGTTATTAGTAAAGGATTTTGTCTTTTCACTAAGATAGTCTGCGTATTGAAATAAATTTCAGACAATAAAGCTTTTTTATAGTACTAATATTAGGTTTCTTGTTAAATTTAATATGAAATCTATAATTTAAAACTGCATATTACACATTATTTAATCCAGTCCTTATAAAAATAAACCAATTAATGAAAAGTATTCCGATTTTAATAAATAAAGATAATTTCAAAATAACCTCTTGGAATGAATCTTCTCTAATGAAAATTATATCAAAACAATTTCGATAAGTATTCAGGAAATGTAAATTCAACAAAGTATTTTTTCAGTATCTCATGAACTGAAATTCGTCTCCAGCATACTAATAGGCTGAAAATTCAAGTTAATATAAATTACAAAAAATATACTAAAAATAATACTATTAATATACTAAAAAAATACAAAAATAATACTATTCAGTCGGAATGGAAAGAAAGCTCTTCAGTTGTATCGATAAGGAAAGCTTATTAAAAGTATAAAAAGTATTATTTTATTAAAAGTATAAATCAGGTTATTTTTTAACTGCATTGCCGCTATTAATTTTGCTGTAATACTGCAGTAATAGTCAAAGCAATTGTCACTTAGAAATATATATTTTTCCTATTCATTTTTCTTGTGAACTAGTAGTGAGTGTCATGTTTTCTTCTTTTACAAATAAATATTATTTTTTTTTTCATTAAGGGGAATGGCAAATTTGACATTGTTAAAGAAAAGGCACGGAATGCTTTACCAAAATATGAATTATGGAATAAAACTTTGAAACTGATTGAAGGTAAATAAAATCATATATTTTTTCTAAATTTCATTACCTTATTTGATATGCTTTTTGTAGTTAGTTGTAGAATACTTTAAAATTATACTCTAAACCTGTTTCTTAATGTTATGCACAGGAAGATTCTGAAATCATATATTAAGAGAGGAACAAATTTCGGCAAGATAAAAATGATATCTCGATTTGCATTCTGATATGCAAAATATGAAATACGCACTAAATAAGAGTTTAGATAATGTTATACATATGTATTATAAGTAAACTGATAATTTGTTCCTTTAAAGTAAAAGTCTGCATCGTTATATAGTATGTTAATGAATGACAAAATATTGGTTTGTAGTACGTAGTTCATATGTCTTGAAAATATCGTCCAAAACGACTTTGAAATTATAGTTATATAAATTTCGGGGATATAGAAAGATTTTTTAAAATTTGCAACAGCCTTTGATACCTCATATTCACCGCTAATTAAGCTAAATTCAACATTTGAATGAGAAAAGTCAACAATAAGAATTGCAGAGATATTTTGTTAAACAAAATCTCTTTTTCCTCCTTCCTGTCCCTCTTTCTTTTTAAAGATCTACTCTGCAGCATCTACAAATAACTAAAATGTTAACTTTCGTTACTGCAAAAAATTTTTGAAATTCTACGAACACGTAACTAGTGTTTTCGTATTTTTTGATTCTTTTATAGCTAACAGATTAATAATAGCTTATTTTAGCTATGTACAAATAAGACATAAAAGCGTAAATTAGTCTTAGATACTTTTAAAACGAAAGCTGTCAAAACTTACTTAATATATTCCCCGTTTTCTTACCATATGTCCTATTTACTATTTACAATACTAACAGCATTTATCTAATATTGAAATAAATATCAAAATGCAAATAAACAATACTGGAAAAAAAAATCTGAAAGGTTTCACATTTTAATTTACGTCCAAAGAGGTGTCTTTTTAACATTTTGTGTGTTACCTTGTGTTCTTCGCACTTAAACCATAAATTCAGTTCAACAAGAACATCGCAAAATAATTTTAAATTAAGCATATCTTTAGAATTTTTGTTATACAATCTCACGCGCTGGAGATAAAAATGTTTTTTCTGTACAACGTTGCCATTGCTCGCTTTGAAATCCTTGAATTTGTTAATAAAAAATTCGTTAAAGTCTAACAAAATATGAAATCTATAATAAAACAAATTCCAAATTTGGGCTTCCAGATGTCCATATTCGCAGTAGATAAACGTCATTCAAAATTGGGTGGCTCTAGGTACCGTTGTTTTATCACCAATCCGAGAAATAGGCACACATTTATGCAGATTCTTCATTATTTAATTTCTTCAAATGTAATACAGGGCGATAATATTTGGTGGCAACAGTTTGAAAAGTGAAATGGACATTCAGAGTGATTCGACGCAAAATCGCAAAACGAAAACAGTAATCCCTCAGGGACAAAGCCCCTTTGGACTAACAATAACAAATCCTATGGAAATAGTTCCAAATTCAAAACTGCATCTTTCACCAGGTTACATAATCTCAAATAAAATATAACATTTTGTTAAATAATGAAAAGTAATAACATAAGCTTGAATGTATGAAGGATAATAATGTTCCACGTGAAAATATTCATAGTGCTTCGTAGGTAATATCTTACACACGAATATATATGGCCGAATGTATATTTACTTTTTAAATTGTATTTATTTATCTCAGTGTCTGTAAGTTTCAATTTGTTCACCTGAAACAAATTCATTTTTCCACTTGTTACTAGAAGTTTTAAATGCTTACTTTATTTTAAGGACGTTTCGGAGCTGGTGTTGTTTCGTACTTTCTCTTATTGCGATTCCTTCTTCTTATGAATACTATAATATTTTTGCTGAATTTTGTTTTTATTATCTTACCACAACTTGCAATCGCGGGAAATCTTAAAGATGAGAATTCTACCTCACAATTCCTGATACAAGATATAATAAACAGGGCTAAAACGGGACAAGAGGTAAGTCAAAAAACAAATATTTTTCCTGAGGATTTTTTGAAAATATTGCTGTAGAAGTTCATCGGATCACAAATTGCTACATTTTTTAACAAATACTTTTTCATGTGTTCCAGTTAGGGTTATGCCAAATTCATTATTAACATAATCTAACAAAAAAATACGCCGGAGGACAAATGTTAAAGTAGCTAATAATGAGCAACAAAAATTAGTGTAATGTACATAAATTTGCAGGACTGTAGTTTTGAAGGTAATTAGATCTTCTTCCAGTTGCAGAAGTGAAATTGACGAGATAAAAATATGTGTTTACACCATAAAACAGACAAAAAGTTACATAGGAGGTTTCCAGTTAAAGGACAGAAAACTAAACTACCGATGCCATTTTTACTTCCTTGTACGAAGTAAAAAGGAAGTATTGTAATCACGAAAAGCTTCAGGCAACATATTTCAACGAAAATATCCATTTTGACCGCTATCGAATGCAATTTAATGATGTTTTTGCGTGATATCTGTACGTAAGGACTGAATAAAAGACTCTTTTCCTCCCAAAAAATTATAAAACTGCTTTAAAATTAATTTCGAAGAGAATTTTTTGTGGCATCTGTACGAACGTACGTACGTACGTATCTCACATAACTCAAAAACGAGTAGCCTCAGAACTAGACTAGAAGAGAAACACGCTAATGTGACAATCAAATTCGTAAAAACAACCTTGTATTTAGCGTAAGTATAATGAAACGCTCAATCGATTTCGAGGGCAGCTAAAGGTCCCTCCTCATCAGGAGAAAGAAATACCTAGAAAGAAGAAAATAAAGGAGAAAGAGTCTCAGAAACACGTGGTTCTTATCAGCACTGCACGTGGTTATAACTGGAATTTTAATCAGAACCTAGGAATTTTTTTGCCGATAGATGGCGTGACCTCCTCGCGTTTGGTACTACCAGAGGGTATTTTTATCCGTTCAGTGGTTGCTTTTCATTCTTCTGCCTGCTATGGGAAAGATTTATGAAAAAATACTAAACAATAGATTAAATGACTTTCTCGAAAATAATGATATTATTGATAGTATGCAATTCGGTTTCAGGAAAGGTCATTCTACTACCCATCAAGTTTTAAATTTAGTCGAAATTATTGCCCCTGCTTTCCAAAAAAAGAGCGCAGTCGCTGCATGCTACCTCGATTTTCAGAAAGCTTTTGATCGAGTGTGGCATGCCGGGCTAATTCATAAGCTCATCAATCTTGAAATTCCTAAAAATCTGGTCAAAATTATTTTTTCTTTCATCCAAAACAGAACCTTCCAAGCTCGCATTGGTAATACCTTATCTAAAAAGAAAAGGATGTTTTGTGGCGTCTCTCAAGGAAGTGTTTTGAGCCCAAAACTTTTCAATATTTATATAAATGATTTACCACAACCTCTTAATGCCAAAGTGTTTAAATATGCCGACGATGCAGTAGTCCTCTCGGAATCCATAAAACCTCAACTTGCCATCAATAATCTACAGATGTATGTCAATAATATTGCACACTGGTGCTCTATATGGAAAATCACACTCAATGCTCATAAATGCAACACAGTTCTCTATAGAAGGTATAAGAAATTGCAAAGTGTTAATACTGAAATCAAAATCAATAACATCCCTATCCTTCATGTTGATGCATATAAATACTTGGGTGTTTATATCGACAAACATCTTACCTTCAAAAACCATCTTCAGTACATCGCAAATAAGGGGAATGCTGCATATATGGCTATTTACCCACTTATTGGGCGAAATTCCAAACTTAATTTACACACCAAAAAGGTACTTTATACTTCCCTCATCAGACCTATTCTTACGTATGCCGCCCCTGCATGGGCTATTGGGAACAAAAATGAAAGAAAGAAGATTGGGATACTACAAAATAAAATATTACGATCCATCACAAATGCGCCCTGGTTTGTGAGGAACTGAGACATCCAGAAAGATCTGAAAATCCCTGCACTCATGGATTATATCCTTATTTTATCTCACAACTTCTTTGAAAAAATGAGAAACAGCGAATATCAGGCAATCCAAAATATTATAAACTACGACCCTACAATAGAATACACGGTTAAAAGACCCCGTTCCATCCATTATAATCGAAGATGGTGATTTCATATATTGTAAATAGTGTATATATTTTCTATATTTATCCTAGAATTCAATTACTCAAGATAATTTTACAAGTTATTCAAGAATTTTTTACTGTATATATCATGTGACCGCTCTGGTCGAATTGGAACTTTTGCTGAAACGAACTCTTATGATTTGCTAAGAGTCTTCACGTGACCTCACTTGCTTCTAACTGATTTGGGTGCTCCTCCCTCATTCAGGGAACGGACGCCGATGCAGTAGGACGGCTCTTTTCATCTGACCTGACCGTTTGCCACCTGACTACTAGAGATTTGAGATCATGCTTACCGCTGCCAATTGCTTATCTTGATTTCACTAATAATTGCAGGACTTAAGTCTTTGATTTTTTCGCCTCAGTGCGGGTGTTTTACACCACTAATTTATACCATCTAACTGGCTTTTTTTCGCCTCAGTGCGGGTGGTTTACACCACTAATTTATACCATCTAACTGGCTGTATGGCATGATTAAAATAGAATGGATTAAGGCTCTTTGTAGCCAAGGCCATTTTTGTGAAAGTAATAGAATAGAATAGCTTTCCATTATTTGAAGTTCAGATTTTGAGCGTGAAGGTGCATTTGCCCCTCGCTCCCTATTTTAAGTTCGCTAACTTTTCTTGTCCTTTATGCTTTATCAGATAGCCTGGCTCAGTAAAAGTAGGCGGCCAGTGCAACTCTGATTAAATATCCAGTTATAACCATGTGCAGTGCTGATAAGGACCACGTGTTTCTGAGACTCCTTCTCCTTCATTTTCTTGTTTCTAGGTATTTCTTTCTCCTGATGGGGAGGGACCTTTAGCTGCCCTCGAAATCGATTGAGCGTTTCATTATACTTACGCTAAATACAAGGTTGTTTTACGAATTTGATAGCCTCAGAACGTTAAAATTTTGTATATAGGACTGCTATAACACTTCAACCCAGGTAGAACTACCAATGCTAAACGATGTTATCGTTCGGACACTGTTGGATACAAATCTTTTAAATGTTTAAAATGATTCTGAGATAATTTTCACAAAGAACCCTAATGCTTTTGTTGCATATAACGACCTGCGACGATATAAGAAACCTTTTTCAGAAACCGGTTTCTCCTAGCACTATTTTGATCGGTGATTTCTAGTCAAAACAGCTACGCTTGATGATGTGTTGTGGATACGTCCCCAGAACATTTTACGAGGCCGGGGAAAATTTTTCGTTTGCTGCTCTGTCCAGCGTTATCTTCGCCAAAGAACTGGTTTTTGCATAGTCAGCCAGCTTGGAAGCGAAGATACCCCGAAATGTTTCTTTCGTGTACATCAAGATAACTAGTATATTTGTTAGTGAGTTTACTTTAGAGGAGAGCAGAACAACTTAGGGAAATCATGTATTTTATCCTTTTGAAGAAACTACTTTGGAATATTTCTTATAAAATGTTAACATGCGCATTACAACTTACAATAGACATGCAGTCTAGGCTGGCCAGATTTCTGATCTTTTTCATCTACCGCTAACATAATATATTGATGGAATGCTATCTTATGTTTTATCTCCTATGAGATGTGATATAATATACAACACGTGGTAATAAGCACGACGCGTTATATTAAAATCCAAGGCGAAACCACCGCCCCTGAAAGGGTTAAATTATACTAGTAAAATCTTCTAAAGATTATTTGATAGTACAAAACGCTGTTATTAATTTATGTTCCTTTTTGCTAATACAATACAAAAGCAATAACGAGTACTGTTCGGTTATTTTTACAGGTTTAGTGTATGTTAGTTAGTGTTTAGAATGTAACTTAAATTCATATAATACAAAGTTAATTGTACTATCTTTAAAATATTGAGTAAAAACATAATCAAGTGTATCAAGAGCATTTTAACTGCCAAGACGGGATAGTGGTTAGTGACTGAGACTGCCGTAGCGAAGGGCCCGGGTTCGAATCCCAAAGAAGGCACGGATATTTGTAAATGTATAGTGTCTTTGCGGGATAGGAGCACTTTAAATTTATGGTGAGCCGAAAGTCCTCTCGCTTGGTTTGATGGAAGGGGAGATGCATGGGAGACCTCCGGACCAAGCTCCAGACTGCTATACCTCAAAATTCGGGTGAAAATAGAAGTCGAACGCATTGGAACTCTAGCAACCAATCCTCCATGAAATGTGGACTGAATAACAAACAAATAAAAAATATTTTAAAGTTACGAGTAATATTTGAAGCATCACATGTATTGAAACCACAATTGCACCTTTACCTGTACATCTCGTGAAATTTCCCATATCACAAATTAATCTGATTTTAGAAACCGACTTACAAATATCAAAAATCAGTATTGAATTTGTGCAAAATATTATTTGTTATAATTAATTAATTTTATACAATTAATTAATTTTGTCCTCGAAATCTTCTTCTCTAAGCGTTATCTTTACAGTCATACGTATTAACACGTATTTAACAGAATATAATATGCACGTTTTGGCATCTGTTTTTCATTCTGCTTTTCATATTTTGCTTACAGTAATAGAATCTTTTAGATTTTAGATGTTGTTGAAAGAGAAGGAAATAGAACAGATGAGGAAATTATTGCTTATTGTCAACAAATGTACTTGAAAGATATAAAATCAGTCAGTCACGAAACCATTCTAGATCATCTTCAAAACTTACTGCAAGGAACGGTATACATTTTTCTTCTTTTCCACGTTTTCATATTGAAACATTAGTATTCTTTCAGTGCTGTACTAATAAAAGATCTTTCGCGCGAGATCTGATTAAAATATCTATGAAATTTCTGTAAGTTTCTGCTTGTTGTCTTTCTGAATTGTATTTTGCTATGTATTTATTGTTGACAAAAAATTCCGTGCTTGACTAAAAATTAACTAAAGTTTTCCTTATTACTAAGGAACTGCTAAATTACACTTTTCTAAATGTAGATGTAAAATTATGAGCGAACATCAATTGCTGGCATATCAAAATAGCTTACCAGCACCGTTTCATCTGTTATGTTTAAACACGGATCTTTCTGCCAAATAAAGTTTATCCTTTAATCCTTAATGCGCTAAGATGTTTACGTTTTAATGAGAATTATGCTCTTCGAAACGTGAAAAGCTTACTACAAGAAAATGACAAAAAGAAAATTCTATTTAAGACCTTCATTTCTATTTCTTTATAAAATCTATAGCAAATTCAAACCGTTACAGCATAATATACAGTGTCTCACAAAAGTGATGGGACACTTGTGCTTTACAAAAGGAAACTGTAATAAAATAAATTTAAAAACATGTAAAAATTTTTTGTGGGGTGTGTTTCATACTTAAATTTAGTAACAATTATTACATAAGACACATTTTCTCAAAATATTAAAATATTAATTTAATAAAAATACAATTGTTCAGAACGGAGCAAAAAATGGCTCACATAAGTGATGGGACACCATTAGATACTACTACGTACTACAATAAAAATATTTTTTGGGGTTTTTATTTTTACTCAAAAGTAATTGGCAATAATTTATAAAATCGTCTGCAGTATTTCTCTCCAGTTTGTTTTGGAAATTTTGTGTTTTTTAGCTCTCTGCAGCCATGAATGCTAAACGAAAAGAAACTTTGCCTGAAATTCGAAAATTAGTTATTAATTTGCATATTGAACGTGGAAAATCTATTAGAGAAACTGCTGAAACAGTTAACTTGAGTCATTCAACAGTTTTCAATATCATTAAACGATATAAAAAGAATCATATGATTCAGGATAAAAGAAGACCTGGCCGACCATCAAAGCTATCCAATAGAATAAAGCGAATTATCGTTCGAAATATTAAAAAAAGTCCAAGAATGAGTGCTCCTAAAGTTGTTGCTGATTTACAAGCATTATATGCAGTAATTGTTCATTCTGAGACTATTAGAAGAGTAATTCGATCTGCTGGATATCACGGTAGAGCAGCCAGGAAAAAATTCTTCGTAAGTGAAAAGAATAGAAAACTCATACTGGCTTTCGCAAAATCCAACATAAATAAGAATTCTGATTACTGGAATGAAGTTATATTTGCTGATGAGAGTAAATTTAATATATTTAGTTCTGACGGTAGAATCTTGGTGTGGAGAAAACCCAGAGAAGAATTTCTCAAACAGAGCTTGGTGCCAGCAGTAAAACATAGTGGAGAAGGAGTTATGGTATGGGGGTGTATGTCGTCCGCTGGAGTTGGTAATCTCGTTTTTATTGACAGTATAATGGATCAATACAAGTATATTGACATTTTAAATCAAAATTTGAAATCTTCAGCACGAAAATTGAACCTTCATAACGATTTTAAATTCTGCCGAGACAATGCCCCCAAGCACACTGCTTTGAACGTTAGACTCTGGCTGCTGTATAACTATCCTGAAATAATAAAAACACCACCACAATCTCTAGACTTAAATCCCATAGAGAATATTTGGCAAGAATTGGAATCAAGAATTCGCAAACACACCATTTCTTCAAAGCAACAATTAAAATCGGTGCTTCAAGAAGAATGGGGTAAAATCGCTCCAGAAATCATAAAAAAATTAGTCGAATCCATACCAAGAAGATTAAATCATGTTTTAAAAGTAAAAGGAAATCCAACAAAATATTAAAACCTTTTAAAAAGTAAAATTTTTGGATAAATATTTGATGGAAAAGTAAGTGTCCCATCACTTATGTGAGCCATTTTTTGCTCCGTTCTAAACAATTGTATTTTTATTAAATTAATATTTTAATATTTTGAAAAAATGTATGTTATGTAATAATTGTTACTAAATTTAAGTATGAAACACACCCACAAAAAATTTTTACATGTTTTTTTAATTTATTTTACTACAGTTTCCTTTCGTAAAGTACAAGTGTCCCATCACTTTTGTGAGACACTGTATCTTGCAGTGCATGCTTTTAAATAAATCAAGTCAATAATAACTTTCAGCAGAAAACATTTAAAAGTAATCACATGTTGGTTTTTAAAAGAAAGGAAATAAATAAAATTACCATTTCAGTAAATATTTTGTTTTTTTCTACAAAGGCTGATAGGGAACAAAAATATGTTAATGTAATTATAACAGTTAAGTGTCTTTATTTATTTATTTCATGCATAATTTTTTGTCAACAACTGTAATGGTAAAATTTAAATAATTTAAGTCCATTTTTAGTCTGCATTTTTGTCTTTAGCAGATCAGAAGTTCATTGTATTCTTTTCTTTATATATATATATATATATATATATATTCATACGTTATAGATATACATTCATACCAGTGGCGTGCGGTAGGTTTTCATGCAGGGTGTGCAGAGAACAACAACAATAATAATAAAATTATAAATATGTACATTAATCACTCCTTTAACTTTTTATTATTAATTTGTACACAAAATCCATACGTCTATCGCATTACTTACAAAATCATTAATTACATGATTATAAAACTCTGGCCTTGACTGTAATAAGTGTAACATTTCTTTTTCTATTGTTATTAGAGATACATTGTTTAATCTATCCTGGCACATTGTATTGCGTGCATAATTTTTTACTCTTTTCAATGCTGAAAATGATCTCTCCACCGAAGCAGTTGAAAATGGAATTGTACAAATTAAATGTGCCAATTTATTTACTTCGCTTAGGGCATCTGTCAAATCATTCAGCATTACATGCTGAATACGTTTCGATAAATTCATTTCGTGGTATAACTCACTACGATAAAGAACGCATAATTTATTGGTTAGCTTTAGAAAATCAAAATGATTTGCATAAGCGTTCTTTAACGAATTAAGGCATTCATCCGGAAATTTACTTTGATATTTCTTAAAAAAACTAAAATTCAATAGTTCAAAAAATTGGAGCGAATTTAATTTTTTAAAACGGACATCTAACTGACATAAATAGTGTCCATTATTTCATAAATTTTTAAAATGTTGGTCTTGGTCTACACTTGAGTTTTGTAAATTTACACGACGTTTTTTTAAATTTGGCGGACCCACTACAGAAATAGTCTCTTCATAAACTTCATCAAATGCAACAAAAGTTCGCATATTTTGAATGAATTGCATCTTTTACTTCCTCTACGTTTTGCCTACCAGCGGCCGAGCGGTAAAGTCGCTGAACACTGGTAGTTCGGTCCGAGGTTCGAATCCGGCGAACGGGCTGGCTGCATGGGTGTTTTCGTGGTTTTCCCCATGTGTAACGTGTATACGAGCCAGTTTCCCTTAGAAAGTCCTCCACGAAGGCATTCCTCCCCTTAGGCAGATAGCCCTAGTGTGCTTTGCCATAATTAAATACACCAACACCTCTACGTTTTGACTAAAATATGCTATATCTAAGTTAGTTTTTTGTAGAATATCAAATAGAACATCAGTATAACTAAACACTTTGGCAAAAATATTTAGGAGAAAATTACCGTTAAATTCTTCAAAAAACATGTGATAAGTCTTTGCAATATTAATTGTATCGTTATCCCAGCCTTCTGGATTCTCAATAATATTTTCAAATAAATCAGATAGGCCTTGCCTTTCGCTTTTTATGGTATTTACCAAACGAGATGAATAGTTTCAACGTGTTGTAGCTAATTTTGGAAATTTTCTTTTAATAATTTCATTTAAAACATGATTTCTTTTTGTAGACACCGAGAAAAATGAGGCTATGCCAGAAATTGTTGCAAAAAATAATTCACAATCTTTTATAAACAATACAGATTGCGACAGAACTAAATTAAGTAGATGTGCGCAACAATGCACAAACATAGCTTCTGGGAAAATGTCTATTACTTTTTTCTGCGTCTCATTCAACGCTCCTGCCATGACTGCCGCCCCATCGTACGTTTGAGCAATCAGTTTATTCTCACACCCCCAACTCAAAATCGTTTCTTGCACAACATTACACAAAGCTTCCGCTGAACGATCACCACTAACATCTTTGAAAAACAAAAATTTTTCCGCTGGTGCACTACAATTATTAACATATCGTAGCACAACCGATAATTGCGATTTGTGAGATATGTCAGATGTTTCCTCCAGCATAATAGCAACGAATGGCGTCTCTTTTACCTCATTTCTAATTTCTGAAATTACAATATTTTTTATCGATGCAATAATATCATTTTATATTCTATTAAGAGGTTCCAGAAAATACAGTTGCAGTTCTTAGATGGGTTGCTAAAAAGTCATCATATTTACTAATTAAAGTTATTAATTCCATATAATTTCCTCGATTAAGGGAAATTATATTCTCATTGTGTCCACGAAATGCATCTTCTTGTTTTGCTAAGTAACAAACTACATGTGTTAATCTCTTGAGAATATTTCTATTTCTTGTTACTTTACACTGTGTTGAACAATCGATGAAGCCTTTTGTTGATCTAACATTAAATCTATCCTGGCGCTACTAAATGTTTTTAATAGTATTACGGCATTTATGCGAGATTGTGTTTTTTCATGTTTCTTTGAAGCTTCGTGGAGATGATTTAAATCACTGTAGCCTTGTTTTGTCCAAATATTCTTGTCCTTAATTCAGAAGTCAAACAACAAAAATCAGCGTTATACCTACAAAATTGTGAAAATTTTGTAGGTATAACGCTGATTTTTGTTGTTTGACTTCTGAATTAGTATTTATTCGGCGTGTTATTGTGTCTTAATTCTTGTCCTTTTCAATTAGAACAAAAAGTAAACATGGCCAACAGTACAACTTATTCGATTCACTACAACCGGTTAACCATTTAAATTTTTCATACGTAGATTTTTGAAAATGTCGTACACACTGTTGTATTTTAATCTTAATGTTTTGCGATAGAATCCGGCATCGGTCCACTTAATTTAACTATTTCGTTTTTTTTTTTTTTTTTTTTTTTTTTTTGTAGTAACATCTCGTCTCGAAAATGGATTTTCCAATAAATCTTTAATTATTGAGACATCTGAGTTCTCCATTCTGAAATGGGTTATTTATTATGATTATAAATTTAAAGAATACAATAAATAAAATATTCACCTACGAGTAGTCGAGGTATTACTATAAAAACAGCTAAACGTACGAGAATTTTACTAGCACTGAAGCAAAAATCATGTCTTGTGGTGTCATATCGGAGGCGAGAAAGCAACGCTTCGGGCTTCCACGAAAAACTTATATTTTCAGCAAACGTAGCACCACACGGTGCCCGTCGCTTCGGTGCCTCATCTTCAGCCTGATGACATCAGGTTGCTTATTGGTGCCGACAAACCGAACGTCTATTACACGTGCAGAGGATTTCACTGCACGCTGGCACAATAGAACGAATTGTTTCTTGTTCGGTCAGTGGATTAAATTATATTTATTAATTGTTTTTAACATTTGGAAATCATATATTCTGCGAAAAACATCTTGACAATTTTTAAAAACAAAACCAGGAATATGGTGTTAGACAGATGTAACTTATATACTGTCTGTAAGACACAATGAATGGTAAAATTTGGACTGTTCTGTTAAAATTCGTTTCTTTTTTGTCTAACAAAACAAAATTGTTTTTCAGCGAATTATTTCTATAAATATAATACATCACCGAAATCACTTTACCACACTAAAACATTTCCCTTTATATTGATGAAATACTTCTTTTATATTTCCATAAAACAAAATCTTACAATATATAAATTCAAACATTAACCGTCTGCAAAATCGTATGGCCAGTTAATCAGATAAAAAAACCAAAAGCGCTTCAGCGCGTAAGTCCCCGCTCTAATACAATGCTTAATAAACCGTGCCTTCAGATGATTCTGAATGCCAAGTGCAGAAAAAATAGCTGCACTTTCCTCAGTGCTATAGTATGCTGTGCTTCTCCAGTAGCACATACATATAAAGCGTGATTTTCTATTAGTGCGCAGTGCGTACACATCAAAACTTCCTATGTTCGTTTGCTTTTGAACGCGCTACGTGGTGCAGCTTAGTACCGCACGCACTGCGGGAATACAAGCAAGCAAATCAACATAATATTTGAATATATTATAAATAATATTTATTATATACCATATAAAGATAGGTCGAGAAAATTATTCTCTCTCATAATTTTGCCAGGGTGTACAAGGATGGAGCTGGTACAAGATTGGTTCTCGAGACACCCTGCACATATGGACCGCACGCCACTGATTCATACATATGCAAAAGGAAAGAAAGACTGTTTAGGAATCTCGTTCCTAGGCTGCATTGATTTAATTAAACATAATCAAATGAATGAAAGGAGAATACTCTTATCAAAATTTCAATAAACTAAAAATTAAGAATGCTGATAAAGAAAACTAAGAATTACAATTTGGATGTACATAAATTACAGTCTACAAAGTCGTAATAGGAATAGAAAGAAAGAAAAATTAAAACCAAAGGTAAAACAAAAATTGATTTTAAAAACCAAAAGTTAAAATGTTATTTTTGAAAAGAATTTCAAATATTTTAAAAGAAAAAAATGGAAAATGGAAAAAATTGCCTTACAAGCACTAGAATAGCAGTGGAAAAGCATATAAATTGAGATTAAAAAATTGCAAGTAAAAATTCTAGCAATTTTATAAACAATTGCCTAAAAATGAACGATTGAAAACATAGCAAAATAATACTGACTCTTCAGGAGAAATTAGAATTATTCATATATATATATATATATACATATATATATATAATTAGAAAACAAACATGCCTAGTATTTTCGCGCATTAAGCTGCAGAAAAATTATCATTAAAGACATAAAGTAAGAAATTTAGAACTAATATATCACCAAGACCAGAAACTGAAATTCATAATTAATAACTTTCAAATAATCATATAAATGCAACAAAGAATTTCAAAATGTTAAAACAAAAACATCCCAAACAAGCAAATTCCCACCCCAAAAAAAATTCATGAAATTTACTGAAAAATTAACAAAAACAGAAGAGGAATTCAATCAACTCCCAATGTCGCTTCATCGGGGGAGGACTTCTGAAATTAATTGAAATCTGTCTTCTACAAAAATCCTTGCTTTTCTGTATCCAGAATCAGCCTATGAACCATTTCAAAGTATTTTAATTACAATTATAATAGTTCACCCGAAAATTCTAGCCCTTCCCAAAAGCAAGGGGAAAACAAAGTAAATTCTAACTAGAAAAATTAGAATAATCTTAAAAAAAGAGAATTCTTTTTCGTTTTAAAAGAATTGAAAGCGAAAGTGAAAAAAATTGAAAACGAAAGGGAAAAAACAATATACTTCAGTGAAGCATTTTAAATCAAAATGTTTACTTTTAAACAGATAATCTATCGAATTAAGATGTAGTTAAAAAAACCATTAACAGCACATGCGTTCTTAATTTTTCCCTGAAGTATATTGTTTTTTCATTTTCGTTTTCAATATTTTTAAAAAGAATTCTCTCTCTCTCTCTCTCTCTCTTTTTTTAAGATTATTCAAATTAGAATTTACTTTGTTTTCCCCTTGCTTGGGAAAGGGCCAGAATTTTCGGGTGAACTATTATAATTAAAATACATTGAAATAGTTCATCGACTGATTCTGGATACAGAAAAGCAATAATTTTTGTAGAAGAGATCCTTCTTCTAATCTTTAATTAGTCAATTAATTTCAAAGTTCCTCCCCCTTGATGAAGTGACATTGGGGTTGATTGCATTCCTCTTCTGTTTTTGTTTATTTTTCATTAAATTTCATGAATTTTTTGGGATTTTGCTTGTTTGCGATGTTTTGGGTTTAACATTTTGAAATTGTTTATTGCATTTATATGATTATTTGAAATTTATTAATTATGAATTTCAATTTCTGGGGAATATGTATCATACAAAGTAGGATAAATTCTAAGAAAAAACTTGTGTTATATTTAATTAAGAAATCTTGCATAGCCTCTTCTGTCCGAAGTTATTCACTCATATGAAACAATTTACATGCATAGAAGAGATATAATCGATATCTTCTCTTATTTCTTCGTTCACAGGGATTTCTGGAGCCCACTCTGTTATTTCTTGGATCTTATGTATCACGGAATCTTCGTATCTACTACACCACTTACCACGTGCCTCTGGCATTTGTCTGCGTATTTGTCGTATCCATTCTGATTTCCTTCTTCCTAATGATCCAGTAGTAAGTTTATTTCATTATGTTTTAAGTTTCATTAGCGTAAATTCAGTACCTGGGGATTTGAAAGTATATTAAAGACCATAAAGTCATTGCTTTTATTTTTTTGCTTGATTTTAGATTTTGTATCAGGATATAATATAAGAATCATACACTAAATCGTCAGGATATCTATTTTTTTTTAAATCCGACAATAATAATAAAATTTTACTCAAATCTTTTCAGCATAATCTCTTCCACTCTGTATGAATTTTTTTCAGACAAAAGTCAGCTGCTCAGGCACTTAATAAAACTGTCTTAATAGTTAGTTAGATATTCCTGCACTTTGCGGAATATCTAACTAACTATTAAGACAGTTTTATTAAGTGTATGTGCAGTATGTGTCCTTGTAGTTATTAACCCTCTTAATTGTCTTGATCTTAAAGAAAAATCAGAAATTAAGTGATATTAAATTATTAAATTAGGATGGAGCTTGTACCAGATTGGTTCTCGATATTTTATTGGCCACGCAGATTTTAATTTTCAAAGTTGTAAATTTTGTATCCATTTTCTGAAGAAATGCATAGAAGCTAAAAGTAATTTTGTTGAAAAATAGTAAATACTTCAGATTCTAAAGGATAAGGAAATAAGGGGTACATTACTTTTTCTTTTTGAAGATTCGTTTTAGAATGTATAATACCCGTACATAATTCAGAGACGTACTTCTCCTCTTTAGACAAAATAGAGTTAGTTTCATAGTTGTCCTCAAATTAGCATTCACTTAAGCAGTTTTCTTAAAAATTTATCATAAGGCAGTTTCTTTCTTAAACATTAATCGTAAGGCGGTATACTGCCTTTGGCAAGCCAAATATAATGTGATATCGCATAATAATATACGGTATTCTCCTGTAATAACTTTAAGTTGTTTTACATGAATGCGATTTTGTCTAAGTTTAACATCTGCAAAGTATTATTTATGAAGAATAATTTAAATTTCATACAGGAAAAAAAGTTCTGTAAGTTTTTATAAATTTCTGTTCATTCTATTCGTTCTGTAAGTTTCTATTCTAATTTTAAATTCTAAATTTAGCATGAAGTAAGGCTGTAAGGTAGAGAATATTTTTCTAACGAAATTTTTTCTTAGCAAAAAATATCTACAGCTATTTTTAGCCAGTTACGCATTTTTTTTTATTTGCATAAATTCAGTGTGTCTGATTTCGAAATAAAGGATGCAGTTTGAAAACCAAGGTTGGAAAGGAGATAGTAACAGAAAATTTAAGACCAATAAATTGTATCTATGACCCTGTACTGTCACTGTGTTATTTTCTAAACAACTTATATTTCTAGACTATTGTTGTAGATTTTCAAATCAAATTCAGATCTCGATATCAGTTGTTTATACTTGATTGAATAAGAAGTGGCAAAAGTTATACTAGAATTCAACAACGGTTAACATTTAAGGACATTTTAATCCTTACGTGCCGTTCCTGATCTACATTTATACTTCCAGAACCTTGAGTAATATGTAAGAATTACCGCATGTACGTAAAATTGGAAAACGTAACGTGATATTGTGAACAAGCGCCATATAAAAGTGCATGCCCATGTAACATACATAATTATAATTACTCTAATTGAAAAATTATGCAAATATCATGTTATCAATGTTAAACAATAAATACTAAAGTTTTCTATACAAAGTAATGTATCATGCACGTACTACTAAATGAAATGATACAGAATATGCTGCGCACTAAAGTGACGTTAAGATCGTAAATGAGGGGACGGTCGCTATGACCTTCAAGTGCCTATTTTAAAGTTGCAAATTGCAGTTACAGAGATTCCAGATGGTCTTGAAGATGTATGGGAAAACTGCATTGGAGTATTTGAAATTTAAATTTCGAATATGTTATGAATTGATGTCCCTTCGCTTGCATTTTGAAACTTAACCATGTTCTTTTCTTCCCCTCTGTTGCCAAAAATTTTCATAAATGAAACTCTAAGTGATTCAGTTTTTTGCTATATTATAATAAGTTACAGCCGAAAACATCGCGGCGAAAACATCGCAGACGAAAACATCGCAGACGAAAACGTCGCGGAGAAAACAACGCAAGGCGAAACGTCGTGCTACAAAACATCGTCGGAGAAAACATCGCAGTTCTAAAACATCGCGGTACAAAACATCGTCGTCGAAAATAAAGCGGTTCAAAAACTTCGCAGTTTAAAAACATCGTCCTCGAAAATATCGTGGTAAAAAGTAAAGTATCTAAAAATCATCGCATGACGATAACATCGCAGACATACTTTTTTCAGGTTTTAATAATTGTAAATGGATATTCCCGTAATGATTTGTGAGCGCAAGATTGAATAAAGGATAATTTTTACTTTCATATTTTTTATTAATCAATAAATTTTTGCTGAGAAAATAAGGAAACTTAAGCATAGAAAATTAATGCAACTTATAGCACTTAAACCGACATAGTTAACTAACAAAGGCCATTAATAAATCATTGTTTATAAAGTTTTTACTGGTAATTTTTCATGAAAAGTATAATCTATAAGTTGCATTTAATTTTCTATGCTTAAGTTTCCTTCTTACTTTTTCAGCAAAAATTTATTAGTTAATAAAAAAGTGTGAAAGTAAAAATTATCCTTCTTTACATCTTGCGCTCACAAATCATTATGGGAATATCCATTTACAATTATTAAAACCTGAAAAAAGTATGTCTGCGATGTTATCGTCATGCGATGATTTGTAGATACTTTATTTTATACCACGATATTTTCGACGACGATGTTTTTAAACTGCGAAGTTTTTGAACCGCTTTATTTTCGACGACGATATTTTGTACCGCGATGTTTTAGAACTGCGATGTTGTCTCTTTGCGATGTTTTCACCCACGATGTTTTGTAGCCCGACGTTTTTGCCTTGCGTTGTTTTCTCCGCGACGTTTTCGTCCGCGATATTTTTGCCGCGATGTTATCGGCGGACACCTTATAATATGGGGGTATAATTCTACGTGTTGATTTTACACTAGGTTGACGCATAGATTACAATATAAAAATATAAAAATTTAATAAAATAATTTAATATAAACATTTTTGTTAAAAATTTGTGCTTTTTCAGCTCTTCATTTGGTATGAAAGAAGCATTTATGGCAAGAAATGATATCTTTCCATTCTATGCAAATGAAATACTCTGCACTTGGAATCACTGTTTACTTCATACGAAAACTGCTTCGCTTCAACATAGCAGCCTAGTTTTAGCCTTGAAGGTTCGTCAGTTTGGACTTTAATTATTACCATAATTTTTTATTCTACATTTCGAAAGATTTTATTTTCCTGTTTTCGTTATTTAACTCGTATAGATTGACATTAAGTAAAACAATTTTAATTTTCTGGCAGAGCAACTTAGCTGAAGATCGACGAAAGAAAGAAATCCAGAAATGGTCTATTTCTACAAAGATAAAACTATACGCAATTCGATTTGTCATCAATTGCTTGATATTACTTTGGCTATTTCTTTGTTTCTATCTGATATACCTAGCTACATTTTACCAAATGAAGGTACGTATAAATCCTTCTTATACAATTACGAATTTGTTAGCTTTTGTCCATATACCAAAAATAAAGCCATAAATATGCCGAAAGATTATAAACTGTTAGAGATTCCGTGCTTGCTGCTTCACTGCTAAATAAGAAGTCTATTATAAGTGAATCCTTTTCATAAAATAAAATGGAATTTAAGACAACCTTTATCCATCTAAATATTTAAATAAGAATTAGAGAAAGTATGAGATATATTTTTGTAAATGCACTAAATTATATTGCTAAAGATTTTCAAAATTCTGATGAAGTATTTATTGTAATGACATGTTTATTACTTCTTGAGTTAAAATTTATTAATTAGTACATTTATCTTTAGAGATACGGTTTGGGTAACTGCATAATTTAATCTCTAAAATACTTAGTTTTAATAGAAAGAATAATCAGCAGTTAATAGGAGAGTAATTTGATAATTTTCCTTTGTTTTACCTAACAAAATTCATAAATAATTACATTGAGGTTAAAAAATTTGAAGTAAGTCGTAAAACCTGTAACTGTTTTTATGACAATAAAACTATATTTTCAGATAAGAAATCATTAAAAAGAAAAGTTCTAACAGCAAACAACTGTGACAAAAATCTTCTTATGATCCAAAGAATTAAATAAATTTACTCACAATTAATTCAAAACTAATAACTATAATTAACCAATAACTATAATTTGGAAAACAATTTAATTTTATTCGAAGAAGTTAAATTTCTTTTATATTTTCTAACAGAGATAATGTTTAATGCTGGGAATTTTTAGTATTTTTGGTATGTTATGCAGAAATTAGAAAAAAAAATTCTGAAATGAAAAACAATTAAATAAATGATCGATGTTTGGAATAATTCATTAAGCATTCATGATTATTAAAAAAAGGCATCTGAATTTTTCTAATTTTTGAGATAAAATATAAGATATACACGCCTGAACAAAATTAGGTGTAATAAGCATGTAAAGGTAAAGAATCATTACAAATGAATTTTGGTCAGGAAAATAAAAGCATGCCATTGTATTATGTAAAACAAGAAGGGAAAAAAAGGGAATTAAAACATTTTATATTTATTTCAGTTTACGCACATTTTTTAATTTTTCTTTCATCCAGAAGAGCGAATATCAGCATACTAGGTTTGAGCTGGTTTCAAACTCAGGCAAATGTGCTAGATGAATGTCGATTTTCGTGGTTTTCCTAATGAATAATATGAATACCAGTCCGTTTTCTATAGAAATCCCTCTGTAATTTGTCATAGTCATGTAAATTAACCTAACCAACATAGTTGGTCTTCGTGGAGATTTCTGTTGGCAATTAGTTTGTCTTTTCATTGCATTTTGAGCACTTTCAATGAGATAAAATGTTCCATTGGTTGATCCACGCAGTCCACAAACTCATTAGTATAAACTCATTGTGGACGCATTTGTTTTCAATGACAGCGAAATAATGCTGGACTTCGGCAAAAGTTAATATTTCCTCAATATAAGGCACAATAAAAGGACACAGAGATTCTTACTGCTCCATTCCATTGAACCATTTCTGGTTTCACAGAAATCTGACCGTACAGAGGTGTCTCAGTACACGTCATCAGGTCCTTTATACCAAACTGGGCGTATACCGAACGGCGTTTTCTGCAAGAAATAAAAAGAAATATATTCATTCCGTTCTTTGAAAAAAAATTCTACTGCTATTATTATAACATTGTTTAATGCTAAAATAAAAACTCGGTGATTGAAACATATACCGTACATAAATGTAAATTTACCAAAATTATTTATCTCTTTATCTTTCGTCATGTTCGTTTCTGCACCTTGCTGATGTTTGACTCATGTTTGACTCATGTTATTAAAAGTCTGTGCGAAGAACTTTGCTTTTGCCTTTTCCACAGGATGCTGTAGAAATGTGACAGTGTTTGATAATTTCAGACAATGCTATTACGATATGTTTGAACTTTGTTGGGATAGTACCTCTCTGCAAAATTTATGACATTCATTCATTTGATTTTCTTGATTAATGTAAGAGGGGTTTCGTCAAATTCCACCTCTTCTAAATCTGAGGAGAGTGTAGCCATCTTAATATTATTCTTCTCTTTCTCAAATTACTGTAGATTCGCAGTAGGCAGTACTTCTTTGTACCCTGTACTAATTCTTTCATATTGTTATCATTCACATCCAAACCCATAGACTTGCTCAGAGAAGTAATACCCTCTAATATAGGTAAAACCTTAAAGTCACTGCTTCTGGCCATAAATACCTCCAAGCAGTGTTCATCGTTTTGGAGGAAGCTTTCTCCATGCTTTATTCACTAAGAGTTATGTAATGTGTGTGTGTGTGTGATTATGGCAAAGCCTCGAGGGCTATCTGCCTAATAGGAGGGATGCCTTCGTGGAGGACTTTCTAAGGGAAACTGGCTCGTATACACGTTACACATGGTGAAAACCACGAAAACGCCCATGCAGCCAGCCCGTTCGCGGGATTCAAACCTCGGACCGAACTACCAGTGTTTAGCGACTTTACCGCTCGGCCGCTGTTGGGCAGTTATGTAATGAAAAACAGTAAATTGGTCTTCTTTCCAAAACTCTTTTAGGGTTAATTCGTTGCCAAAGGTCACTTTAAAGTATTTCAGAAATAGTGTTTTAGTGTAGAGCTTAAAATTACCGAGAACCTTTTGGTCTATGAACTGAATGAGAGAAGTCATGTTGGAGTGCGGAGAAATTTTGGTTAATTCTGGCAAAACATAGTTCTGCAAGTTTGGGAAGTGAGCTGGAGCATTGTTCATCATGAAGAGGGTCTTTAAAGGAAGATTTTCTTCTTCTCTGAAAGCTTATTTATTCTTGGCTCAAACACAATGTTAAATTACTCGCTGAAATGCTATTCTCTTTTTACCCAAGTCTTGCTGTTTGACTTCCACATCACAAGAAATCTCAGTCTTGTGGACTTTATGTTTTTAAATGTCTTCATTTTTTTTCAAAATGATAAAGTAGTAAAGGCTTCCTTTTTCAATCCCCACTTGCATTGCCACAGAACAAGACAGACCTTCATTTGTTTGTGGCCTGATTCTCTTCTTTTGTAATAGTATAAGTCTGTTAGGTGTCTTCTCCCAAAACTGTCAATTTCATCACAATTAAAAATTCGTTGGGAATTGAGATCTTCAACCTTTTGAAATTCCCCAAACTCTTTAATAAAATAATTAGGCCCATCTTTATCAGCAATTTCTCTATCTCCATGTTTGACAACAGTATGAATGCCAGTCCTGGTCTTTAAATTATCAAAGTAGCCAGGACAGGTTTTAAACAATTAAACTTTTTCACTCGTTCCTGTCTTATTTTTCAAAAGATAGGGGCGTATCAGTTTTTCCTTTTCGCAAATTATCGTCTCTGATACGCTATAGATAGCACACTGTACATCTGATAAACAGATAAAAAGCAATTTCTTAGCATGCTTGAATGTCTCTGATCTGTTTTTGGTAATGGACGTTAGCCCTTCGCAACGTTAGCCGATTTAATAATGGTTTCGTTTTCACAATCACAGATACCGTCGTTTTTGGCATACGGTGCACAATAGCCAAGTTCCGGATACGTATCTTCCATTTTCATACTTTTCAAAAGTCTTTTTTTTTTCCACCTACGCAACGATTTTAATGTTTTTTTTTTTTTTTTTTTTTTTTTTTCCCGTAGCTTAATTTTCTTTTTAACTTTCTTTAAACTTATTGTTAACGAATTTAAAGAAAATTTAAATAAAAATGTCAAAATCACGTAAAAATTCAGAGTTATTACGCGGCTTGTTTTACTGAATAAGAATAATTTATTTAATGGTTACAATGTTTACGCGGGCAGTTTACTAAAGAATAAACTTTTTCTCGCAGCAAAACTCGCAAAAATCCAAATAAGGTGGTTCGTCCCTACTTGAAGATACTTTCTTGTTACTATAGCGATCAGACTGACTGCAGCATTATCTTGAAAGAGGTAATCAAGGGTACTCCATGCAATTATGATTCACCGAACACCCTGAGCATTCCAAACAAAAACAATTATGTACCAAAAACAGTTTCATATACCAAAAACAATTTCGCAGCCAAACAGAACGTAGCATAAATTACTAAAAATTTTTGAGTTCTTCTTTTGGAAGAGAAGAAAATGTCAGCTCTGAATAGAACAAGTAGTCTTTCATTTAACACTTTTGACAAAAAGAATCTGCGATACACTTGGACTGTTAGAATAATAAAACTTTTTTAGGCATAAGTGAACTAAGATTATTCACATTTCTTACGACATCTATATTCGCTCTTTTAATGAGTACTTTCGAAATGAGTATAATTCTGTCGATGTGTATAACAACGATAAATCCCTGTTTTCATCGAAACTCAGGAAGATGTTAGTTCCAGCTGCGAACCCTTGCTTATTACGTAGATATTAGTACATTTATCAGTACTTATTTTCGTCTGACCGAAATTACTCTGAATCAAATTAAGCTAGTTCGTAGGCAAGAAATTGTTTTTGCAGATTCCACTATCTTTTCAGATGAAAACACGTCGATTAATCAACATCAATTAATAGAACAGATAACGATTTCTTCAGTGTCCAGATCTTTATATTTCACAGCCTGACATTTGATGTTTTAGTTGATTAATCCATAATATCGAGCATACGCAGATCATCCTGTACATGCTCATGAATTCCCATCGTAAAGATCAAATTTTGGGTTAGTTGTTTTGTCTAAAACAGTATCCTGATCTTCTGTTTACTTATCCTATATTTTCAGAATTAATTTCGTTATTTCCTGGAAAACATTTGAAATTCTATTTTTTGCAACAGATTAACCTATTTCATCTTTTTCTAGTGTCTGTTAATTAAAAAAATCTGATCAACTTTGTTAATGAGAAATGACCAAATGTTATTAAAAATAGAAGGCTCATCCGTAGTCCAGTACTGATAAACTCAAAGCTAATTTCAACAAGTTGCAATTATACGCTTAAAACACGTCATAAAGACACAGATGTATATTCGTTAAATTATTTTACAGCGATAGTCAATTATCAGAGTTGGATGATATTATTTTCCTAACGTTACTTAGTTTCTTTTCTAACTTTCTACTTATATTATGTTACTTCATAATTCTATTCAGCAGCATGTTTTAAATAATTTATTTTATTCTATAAATATGCTTTCAATAAAAAATTGCTTTCCTTGAATTATATGTCACATTACTGTGTCAGAAAATTTTCTTAATGATAAAAGAAGCCTAAATATTATTTCCTTTATATTTGTGAAGGTAAGATAAAATTGCTAAATATTAGTTATTTTTTATCTTTTCAAAATAATAATGTATTGGCAGTTCACTTTTATAAAAGAAAATTATAACAAAAAATAAAATGTGTTTATATGAAAATAACACTTATTTCTGGGATTATTATTTCTTTATTTCTATTTTAGGAGGAAAAAGAAGGTCAGTTGGAAAAAAGTGGCATCCGAACTCTAGTTATTCAATATCTGTCAGCAGTTACTATAGTAATTGTCAATAGCGTATCACCTGCCATTTTTGCTTTTCTAGTTTCTTTTGAAAATTATCATGGTCAACAGCAAGTCAACATTTTACTTCTCAGGTAATCTTTATTACTTATCGAAAGGATTTACTTATTTAAATAAAAGATCTGTTTTATAAATTAATTATCACAGTCAGAAAAAAGTCAAAATTTTACTTCTCAGGTGATATTTATTGTTTAAAAGGATTTACTTTTTTAAATAAAAGATTAGTTTTATGGATTAACTTTATAAATGCTTTCTTAACATCACTATAAGAGTTTTAGTGATTCTTACAAAATGGCATACTGCATGAATAGTATTTTTAATTTTTTTTAGGAATGTTTTTCTCTCTCTGGCATCAATTATAGTCATGGTAGGCACTTTCCATCAACAAATTACTTGCCAACCAAGAGATATTTGTGGTTCTGGGACAAGTAAAAACTGCCGCTCTCCTAGAGTAAGATATTCTCTAAAATGATGTATTATACCTTTAATGTCATAAACATTCTGAATTTAAACAAACTAACACACGGTTGGCCATGAAGATTTCAACATCAAAAAGAATAAAAAATTACCTTAACATTCAATTTTTAAGATTCATTAAAATATAAAATTAAAATCCTTAAAATTTCAGGTGTATTGGACAAATACTAAATGCTATGCTCAACATAGTTCGACCGCCTCAGCTGCGACTATGATCACAAACATGCAGGAGCCATTTGTACCCATTTAGTCCCAAATAGGTTTGATGGACATGAACCACATAGTAGGGATTTTTTCTATTCTTAATTTTCCCTGCCTATTCCCAAGGTTTCCAAAGAGCACAGACATAAGATTACTGTTAAGTGATCTAAGCTGAAACAGTAACAGAAAATTACTTTTAAGTGATCTATGATATGTTGATAATGATTTATAATTAGCTATTTTATTACATTGTGTTTAATTTTGTACATTTAATATTTACATAGTCGTAAAAATATAAGTGTTTTCCAAATTATTTTGCTATATACACATTCTTTCAAAATAAAACGTGATAAATAATTTTTATTGTATTAAAACTGTAGTTATAGATTCAGGTTATTTTATATTATAACTGTAATTCTAATTATTCAATTATTACATTTTATTGTACGATTTTTATTATTACTAAGGCTGTTCGCACATTTTTCTTTTCATTGTATTTATAAAGATATTAAAATGTTTGTGTTTTAAATGTTCTTTTCGATAACTCGTATTTGTCACTATCTTTCTACACCTTTATTTCTCAAGACAATAAATCTTTTTTTATTAGCGAAAGAGTTATTTTATCAATTCCTCTTGAACAGCTTTCCAAAGCCCACGGGGTAAAGAGAAGTCATTTCATATTTGAAAATTTGATATTAAATGTATTCCTGATAATATGTGAAGTTTACCTTAACATTTTTCTGCACTCTCTTTAACTTTTATCTGTCGTTATGTCAAAAATCAGAAAAAAACATAAAATCCCTTTGAAAAATTTTATTTAGATCTTTTGAACCCTGTTCTAAGATTTTTTGTCTTCATTTTAATGATAATAAATGGATCTCTTTTGACTGCGGTCATTTAAATATATTCAAGATTCATTTATTGTGATGAAATTTTTCCACTTTTGTTAAAATAATTGTTTTCATAAAGAATTCTGAAGCGTGTTCTGCTTTCGCCGATATGTCCTGGAAAAACACGATGCACATTAAGTTTTTCCGCCTTTTTAAAATTCAAATCACCATTAATTACTTTGTTAACAGTTGACACTCAGCATTTTAATGATTATGCAATTGTTCTTTGAATTCAAAGATTTTCTTTTAACATTAAATTTCTTACCTTTGCAACATTCGAAACATTCCATTTTTTTCCTTGGATGTGTATTTTGAACAATTTTTCTCCTTGAAGCCAAACTTTGTCTTTATTCCCTTTCTTATTGACCATATTATCTATCGTTGCTTTAGATACCAAAAAATCATGGCTTTCAGAGCACATTTTTAATAACTAAATGCGAATAATTTTCTTCGGAAAGAGCACAAACATAGCCGTCCATTACTTCATTAAAAGCGCCATTTTGCATGAAAACAAAATTATGAAATACCAGACGATAATTTGCATTTTCAAAATATAGTTGCAGTTAAAATTTTTTCAAGTAGGCAATTATTTTATAGCGAACCAAAATTGTCTAAAAAATATGCGAACAGCCTCTGTATATACTTATTATAATGAATTTTATTAATTTAATTATTATTATAATTGATTATAATAATTATACAGCAATAAATAATTATTATATTTATATTGTTAATTGATAATTATTCCATTTTTATATTTGAGCTACAATATACTCCTGCAATGTTGATGGCTCGTTTCGTGAAATCAGCTACGATCTAGATGAATGCGAGCGTATGGAATGGAAACCTATTGACGGAATATCATTTTATAGTACAAAAAGAATACTTCTGCTAAAGAATATTTATAGTGTTGCGTGCGTACGGGTTCGTTATGAATTGAATGCAGAAGTTCGATGAAAAATAAATAAAATTTAATAATATCACAACAAATAAACAAAATGCTTGTTTCCTCAGATATTCGTACAATATCACTATATCTCACAGTGGTTGTCTTTTAAACTGCTAAAAACGTTCAACAGAACTAATTCGAAATAGAGAAATATAGTCCGATTTCACCGCGAATTCGCTACAGTAAATAACCACAGTTTTCTAAACAAACTCATAAAACAACTACTGAATGAGATACGTTCCGATGACCTCATTGATCACGTGACTTATGTATACCTTTTATAAACAAGCAATGCAGATGACCTCAGAGATCACGGGACTTATGTATAGCTAATGCAGACAAGCAAAGTCATTCTTCCTTTTCTTCTCTTGCGGAATGCATCTCATTGAGAGGTTTTCCTCCTTTAATAAGCGTTTTATGTCTCGAACGAGCACATCTGGTATTTTCTCGATTTTTCCCGAAAAGCAAAAGCTTACAATTACGAGATATCTATTTATTAAACGCTCGTGCTCCTGTATTTTTCATTTTTCCGACGTAGCTTTCTCTCCAAATAAGTGGCGTGCAGCATTGCACGGGGAAATGAAACAATTTAATAACAATTTTATTTAAAAATAGCTAACTCAATACAAAAACCGTAACAATAGTTCTATGATTTTTAGTGATCTTATCTTCAAAAGCAAGCGATGAAATATGCATTGTTCATATAAAATTCATAAACTATGAAACCAAAAAATTTAACATTCCTGCTTTTCGGGCGGTAAAACCAATGCAAATCTTAGTTATTTCTGAGAAATATGAACCAAAGGTGCGAATACAATTGACGGCAGGATCACCCGAGCACACGGGAACTTACCATCCCTTCGTCTATAAATTCCCTCTTCGAAGCTGGACTTTCACGTGTCCTCTCACCTTGCTGCACGTTAACGCCTCTTTTGGATAATTCTGTGTGACCGAACGCCAGCTAAGGTTGCGCCGAGCCGATCGAACTACACTGGAAGTGGTCATTATGAAAAACAATAACCTATATTATAGTTCGACACACAGACTCGAAGAGATTTTGAATGGCATTTTGGGATATTGCAGTCCAGGCATTTGTAATTAAAAGTGGATATTTCTCTATCAGAAAAATACCATGTGATGTAACATCTTTCCGTTGCCCTTTAATTCATACCTTTTGTAATGAAGGTTGGGTTGAGGTTGGGGTGTTCTAGCAATCCTACATTTTGTAATGATTTGTTTGGATTATTTCGTACAGCATTTCGCTATTATTTTAGTTGCAGATTTCTTAATCTTTTTACTTCCTTGCACGAAGTAAAAAGGGAGCATTGTAATTGCGGAAAATTTCAGGTATCATATTTCAACGAAAATATCCATTCTGACCGCTATCGAATGCAATTTAACTATGTTTTTGCGTGTTACGCAACAACAAAAGGATTCCTTTTCCCCAAACGAATCGTAAAACTAATTTAAAAGGGATTCACATGAGATTTTTTCTTGGCGTCTGTACGTACGTAAGTGCGTGCGTGCGTACGTTTTTTGTATAATTATGAAATAAAGTCAAACATTTTAATAATAGTAATTTTAACTACTGAGATAATTTTTTCTATTTGCAGTGCTGGGAAACTCATGTCGGCCAGCAACTTTACAAGCTAACCCTATCTGATTTATTTATTCGCCTCGGTTTACTTCTCTGCGTTGATATACCAAGAGAGTAAGTTATTTATGCATTTGTTCTGAACTCATTATTTTTTATTTTATACTCAATGAAATTTATTTAATTTTAGAACATGCAGTTATAAATCTTAAAATATATTTTTAAGTTTTATCAAATATCTTTCTTAATTTTAAATGACGTTTAAAATCTAAACATCCGAAAAGCAAATTATTTTATGATTATAATATATTCGACGTTTAAAAAGTAATTTTCTGGTTCTTTAGTTCTTAGTTTTCTCAATTCTCTAATTATTGTTTTGTTTCTTCTCAGACAAATTTGATTTTGCCTGTCACTTCTACTAACAAAATTCGCTCTTTAATAGTTACCGATTTACATTACTCTCCAAAATAATTACGTTATCCTTCAAAATAATTACGGAATTTTCATCAGCATCCACTCTGTTTCGGCCACCAGAGCTCGCTGCCTGTCTGTAAGATATTATTTTGCAATGCGCAGATCGTATGCGCAGCTCGCATTTTGTTCTTGTGTTCTTGAAAACGCTAATTGTAACTTTCTCGCTTTACTTTTTGCTGTGTTGTGTTCTAAAGTTGAAACTGCTGAATAAAGGTTAAACTACAGTCCACTCGCATTGACATATTCTTATGTTTACTAATTTAAATTTAAGATACCGCTACGCTACACACTCAGTTGTCATTATTATCTCTATCAGTAATCAACTCAATTTCAAATTTAATGTCTCTTTCATCATCTTTAGACCATTCAGTAACTGTAATTACTATTTGAGTTATTGCGCGCCAAACACTTATGCAAGCAAATATGCCTATAAATAATTACAATAATCTGCAATAAGAATTATTTCTTTACAATAAGAAGGTTTTACGTTCAGTACTTACATATGTTTACTAAGGAATGTACTTTTTCAATACTGCTCATGTAAAGATTTCAGATTTGTAGAAATACAATATCATAGTGTTTTTGTTGGAACCATTTTTTCTGTTTTATAACCGCCTACTGCGTACACGTCCGGGGCGTACGTTTTAGCAAAAACTGGTGCTGTCATATAATATTAGATTGTAAACTGCAGACGGTTTTAAGCAGGTACCAGAAAAATATTTTATCAAAAATTCAATTTCGAAATATTAGATTTTGGCAAATTTATATTGTTTATCCCCCTAAAGTTATATTTCACAATTTTATCGACATCGTTTTTAAAAAGTGCATTTCTAGGGAGAGAAAAGCGGCTTTTCTGCTTCAAAAATAGAAGGAAAGACGAAAGAGCTCTTTTCTGCCTTTAAATTATGCAGAATTTAAAACTGATTTTGATAGTAACTACAATTCAGTTTATAACGTTTATCAAATGAGCGTATTTCCATCCATCTGCTATTCAGAATTATTTGGCTTATTTTCTTTCCCAAGTGGGAAAAGAAGTATCAAGAAACAACATGTTCCGAAATGCTAAGTTATAGGGTCCTATATATAGGGTTATAGGGAGTATAGAAATTAAATTAAAGTCCTACAGGTCCTTGGCAAGCGAATTTCTGCTCCGTCTGAAATATGATGACAAAAGTCTTAAGAAGGTTGTAAGCAACGTTTTTCTTTAAATCTTAATTAAACAAGAGACATTACTTCTGTTCACATTGAAAACACCACCTCTTGCAGGTGTTTAAAATAATATAAGTTGAAGTTCCAACTACATAAGCTATCTCAATATTTTAATAGCACGTTTTACTTCGGTTAGTGAAATGGCTAAATCCGTGATATTTATACTGACAGAGCTGTAAAATATAATATAGACTGCAGATGACGCTATTAAAGCTGTAACATTAAAACATTCAAAATCCTCGACTTAAATAATCTACTAATTAATTTGCATCCTGGTGAGAACTGTGGAAATGGAGAAGTTATTGTAAAGACTTAAGTCATAATAATTTGTTAATTAACATAAAACACTCTACAAAATTTCATGTTCCAAAAATTGAAAGATTATTGCCCATCCTTAACTGGTTTCAGATTCGGATAGACACGTATTTAGTGTAACTCAGTAGACAAAACAATTACTTTAAATGGGCAAAACGTAATTTTAAAACTATTAGTCTTCCGATATCTTTCTTTCTGTAATCGTTTTACATGTGAATGATTTCTCAACTAAATATTTTTCTAAACTTAGTGGAAGTTGCTTAAATCCTCTTCTGATTGCTATGAGATTAATATCTTGAAATTTTAAACCCAAACAAGCTATTCCCAGTAAAATTCGTGTTATGAAAAACAGCACTTGATTTTAATATTTCGATATTAAGTAGACAGGATATTAAGATTAAAGGTAAATAGTTCAGTCTTAAAAGTAAATTAGGTGTACCGTTATTTATCTCCTGTTTTACATTGATTCATATTCACATATAAGAATAAAGGCGGGTGAGGACAGCTTATTCATCATGAAGCGAAGAAGAAACGCGGAAGAAAAGACGATGCCTGCACGCACTTTAAAAAGGGAGTATTTGAATACCGATTTAATTCACTCCACTAAAAAGGTTTAGTGTCTGAATTATACTGTTTCAAAATACAGATAAATTGTTCAAAGCATTTTCCCGTTACCTGCAATATGGTTTATTCCTCTTTTTTAACTGTTCTCCGATTAATTGGAATTTTGAGTTAACCGTTGATGTTGTTGCCCCATGACGTTGTTCAATCCTGGTTCATCAGGAATTTGCTTAGAAATCTTGGGATTTTGCACTTTCTCGGTTTAAGTTAAAAACTTTATTGGTTTCTAAAATCAAGTCAAACTGAATGCCGTATATAATATATTGTTGCGAAATGTCCAGTACCTTCCGCGCAAATCGAGTTGAAAAGCGATGAGCTTAGGGTTTCCAGAATGTGGCAAGAAAGGTATGGTTGCCAGATTTGGCACAAAATCCCCCATTTGGCGATATTTGCGACAAAAATTGGCGATTTGTCAAAAGCGGAGCGAGAACATTTTAGAAAGCTTTCTTAGCGTTTTGCTCGGGAATATTTTCGAAGGTAGGTTAAAGCTATGTATACCCTGCCTGTACGGGGAGAAATGTGTCTTAAGTTCAGAGATTAGCTTGAGAGCGATCGATCGAGTCGAGAGCTGTATAAAGCTGTCTTCACTGTTATAGCCTGAAGGCTATGTTTGATTGTTTCAGTGTGTTTGTCATATTTTTTCAACGAGTGTAATTGTGTCTTTGGAACTGTCATGTGTAATAGTGCTTACTGGCAAATAAATTGTGTTTTGATTGTTCATCAAGTGTTATCATCAATAACTCCAAATTCACGAACCCGTAGAACGCAACAATATTTATTTATTTATATCTTTTGCTAATTACGTTCATTTAATAATATTAGATTTATATTACAATCTAACATTCATTTAATTCTTGACGAAATTTAGCCTTTTAGTGAGAAAATTTGACAACAAATTCACAAGATTAGTTGGTCGCAAAGAATTTAATTTGCCGATCGAGGTCCTGGGTCCTGTTTACTTTCAAACAGTTTTATGGTATGTTCAATATTTTAGCAATTTCATTTATGTCAGAATGTTACTCACTGTGTTATATAGTTCATTCCTTTTATTTTACTGACTCACTGGCCAGAAAATTTATTGATATTACCTTTTCTTTAGTTACTATCATAGTTTTAATAATCGGAGATAATTGTGTTCCTACAGTTTTAAGATTTCAAAATATTATGTAAGGAATAATAAAACGCTTTATTACTAGAGTCAGTGCTGGCCTGTTTATGTATACATAGTTATAGATTATAAAAGAATGATTCAAATATTTTTCCAAAGTGATAATTGCTACCAGAACGAATATCGAAATTTAACATTTATTAAGATTATATACTTATTTTTAATTTCTTCTTAAGTAAATCGGGTAACCAAAATGAATATAGTAAAAGGTAATTCTGCAAATGATTAATAGTCATTAAAATTCGAAAGAATTAAATAACAGTAGAAACCAAAGTAAAATCTTTTAGTGGTTAAATAATACGAATATTGCAGTCTTTTAACTAAATTAGTAAGGAACACTGCTTGCCTTTTTATTAATTTAATACATATACTGCATTTTTATACCCTTTTCTTACTATAAGATTTCTACTTAAGTTTTCAGTACTACTGTGTAAAATCTTTGTTTTTACCTTGATTACTTTTCTTTTGCTCTATCAGTTTGACAATTGATTTTGCTTTCTTTCTTAATTAGAATATTTGTATATATATATGTTTCACAAGAAAATAGTAAAGTTAAATTAAATTTAAATAATTCTCTTGCGCCATTGCTGCAAGGAATGAAATTTGAATTTAACAAATATTCTCTATTCGTATAAAGCAAACATAAAATTTAAATTTAAAATTTAATTAAGAAATTTTAATTGCAAAGAAATAAAAATAAAAATAATTATTATTGCTTCTAACTAATTTACAATATCGTTTAAATTCTAAGCGCATATGTAAATTAATTGTACTTATCTAAAACCATGAACTGAAATTTCTTGGAAAGCAAGTAAAGATTACAAATTTGGATGAAATATTTAGTTCCCATAATTAAACCGTTAATGTGGGAAAAAATAGAGTTCTGATTATAGTTGCGAAAAATACGTAATCAAAAAAAGCTTTCCACTTGTTGTAATCTAAAACAGTAAACATTTAGGAAAGAAGTTGTGGCAAATCAAGTAGACTGTGGTAAATTTCTTTCAAAGGATGTGATGAATATAAATTCTCAAAATCATAGTAGTTGATGCTATTAACTTCAAGATTTTAGTTGTAGTAATAATTGGAAAATTGTCTATTAGCAATGAATCTTACTAGCAGATGCAAGTACTTTCGTACAAATTTTCTTAACTTTGAAAGCAATAGTCTTGTAACTAATATGTTGAAAGTTATCTCAATAGACGTAAATTGTTTGTGTATCTTTTTAACCAATTATGGGAAGTATAAAAACTAGAAAGCTTAACAGAAACAAAAGAGTGACTGGAGAAGTGGAATTAATGGTTTACCTGGCTGTTGCTGTCGATTCGAAAGTTAGTTGTCGGAAAATCGTAAGGAGGAGGGGTATCAGTCAATCAAGTGTAATTCTCTAAGCTGTATCTGTTTGATGTCGTTCTCCATCAAGGGTTACATAGAGAAGATTTTGAAAATCGTGTTAACTTTTGTGCGTGAGGTTTTAAGACATGATACCCCAGATATGTCCTGCAGTTTCTTTAGTGACAGAGCAAATTTTACAAATCACGAGCACAGAAATTGCAGAAATATGCCCTATTGGTTAGTAAACAATCTATATTAGCTTCATCACGTGGAGCATCAGCGTTCATGGGGTGTAAATGAGTGGCGTGGTATAATCAACAATCATCTTCTAGGCCCTTTGTTCCCAGAGAGAACAGTAGATTCCAATAAAAATGTTAACCTTACGACAGGTGAATTTCCACACATGTTAGAAAATCTCCTAATACAGAACTTGGAAGAACTTATGTCATCAGCATAATGGTTGCTCAGCAATAGTGCCTGTACTGGCGCTTGCCTTTATCGACAAAAAGACAAGCTCCGTGTACTGGAACTTATCTTTATCGGGACGGATGCAAAAGCCAGGGTAGAAGTCATTTTAAATTAAAATGAGATGAGGTCTCAAAAGCAGCGATATAATTAACAAAAATAAAAAATAATTACAACTTAAACGAAAAACTATTTGCTTCAGAATTAATGATCACATTAAGATTACGCGGCTACTTAAAAATGAGACATCAGAACTGCTAAATATTACAAATAAAATTATCTCATAGACATAAACACATTTTTTTTAAAATTACATATAAAATATATAAAATGTGTGTGTTTTATGTAATAGTGGACGGCTAATGACGGCGGAACATTTGGACGAGTGCGAAGCACTGATAAATTTTCTTGTAGATTTCAGCGCTACTGGCAAGCAAGGAGTTGAATGGCCTAACGGCCAATGTAACTGGCATTTGACAAATAAATAAAATAAAATAAATATATAAAATGTGAATGGCAGATAAAATACATGAAATGTTAGAAAGCGTTAATTGCTTTTCTTTTATTGCCATAACTTTAAAATAATTATTTCATTTATTTACGTATATGTAATATGCATATATTTCTGCTTCATGTTTTTCTTCCATAGGCTTGGGGTTTTTTACTCGCCACTTCTGCCACTAGTAGTCATTTTAAAAATAATAGTGATATTTTATATAAAAAAGGTTTGTAGTAGTTTTTTACGATTTTTTTCAAAAAATGTTAGTTATACAAATAAGTATTTAGAATTATATTTCTCATTAAATCATTTTATTGCTTAAACTAATGTAGTTATCTTTAGCTCAGTTATTTTTCACATTTCTGGAAATGTTTGAAATATTTAACATAATGCTAATTAAATACCTTATTAAATTATATTTAAATACAATGTACGTCCAGAAAGTAAGTTCCGTTTGGTAATAAAAGTAAATTGTGTACAGCTACAGAAAAGTTATTTATTGCACAAAATTCAACAACTCTTAAACTACTTTTCCACATAACTGCCGAAATATTGCAGGCATTTGTCATAGCGTGGCACAAGTTTTTGTATACCTTCTTCATAGAAATTTGCCGTCTTTGTCTTCCACCAGTTGGAAACAGTTTCTTTCAGCTCGTTGTCATTGTTGAAGTGTTGACCGCCAAGGAAAGACTTAAGATGTAAGAACAGATGAAAGTCGCTAGGAGCGAGGTCAGGGCTGTACGGAGGATGGTCAAACACGCCCCAGCCAAATCCCTGTAGGAGGTTTTCCGTCACATTTGCAGTGTGTGGTCGTGCGTTGTCGTGAAGAAAAACAACACCTTTTGACAGCAATCCTCGGCGCTTATTCTGTATTGCGCGGCGCAATTTCCGAAGTGTCTCGCAATAAGCATCTGCTATGATTGTTTGACCACGCGGTAAGAAATCAATGAGTAAGATGCCTTTCCAGTCCCAGAACACTGTGCACATCATTTTTCGAGGTGTCAAGATTTCTTCGGCTTAACCTTTGCTGGGGATGAAGTGTGCCTCCATTCCATTGATTGCCGCTTACTTTCAGGGGTGTCGTAAGAAACCCAAGTTTCATCTCCTGTGACTATCTGTGTCAGAAATTCTTCGCCGCTTTCAGCATAACGGGTCAAAAACTGAAGTGCACTACCCATCCGTTTCGTTTTGTGTTGTTCAGTAAGAATCTTTGGTAACCAACGTGAGCAAAGTTTACGAAATTTCAGTTTTTCGGTAACAATTTCATGTATTAGTGATCGTGAAATTTGGGGAAATTCCATAGCGAGAGCACTAATTGTAAACCTTCGGTTTTCATGGATCTTGTCATCAATCGCGTGAACCAGTTCTTCTGTAACCAAAGATGGACGCCCACTTCGTTCTTCATCGTGCACATCACTACGTCCGTCATTGAACTTTCGGACCCATCTTCTCACCATTGAATCACTCATCGCTTTTGGTCCGTAAACATCGCAAATTTGCCGATAAATTTCACTAAGTTTCACTTTCCTCGCATTCAGAAAACGAATCACAGATCTGATTTCACAAGCGGCGGAATTTTCAATCAACACCGACATTGTCCAAGCACAATAAAGCGTACGTGACTGACAGCGGTACGTGACAGTACGTGATTGGATCTCCAAATGGCGCGCGTTTCTTCTCCTTGATACAGAGCGTCTACTGCGCATGTGCGGAACTGCGATCGCAGAGCTGCAGCGGAGATAAATTGAAACGGAACTTACTTTCTGGACGTGCCTCGTAATATATTAAACTATATTAAAGATCTTTGTTTTACACACTTTTAGAAAAAACTAGTACAGATGTTTTCGAAGTTCTCTAGATAAGTTATTCTCTTCAAGTATAGCTGAAAGAAAAAATGTTGGTACAATATTAAATAACACTTTAATCTTACCAAATTATATTAGGTTAATTTAGGCAGCAAGATTCTACGAAAGTTCATAAACATTATATTCTCTTTCTCAAATAAGTTTTGTTTCCCATGAAATGAATATAAAAAGGACTATTGAAAGACTTACACATTTGCAGTCACTTATCATCATAAAACAAAGATTATGATGACACTATTCATTTGCAGAATATTTTTATTTATTCAGCCCTAACAAACTTGTAAATTTTAAAATGGGTGACATCTTTTTTTTAGAAATAATTTATGTATTATTTATTTATTATTATTTTTTGTACTATTTTATTAATTCGATGTGAATTGAATGCATATCCTCAAATAGAACAATTTCAGGAAGGTTTAATACTGTAAAAATGCTATAGTTATGATAGTAACATTCAGATAGATTTAATACAAAAATGAGTTTATCACTTTAAAACTAGAGGATTAAAGATTTAAAATGTGAATAAAGTAAGTTTAACGTTGAAACACAACATTTAACTATGTTATTAAAAGATGTTAATATTGTTAAGAATTTTGTATTTAGTTACTTATTTTTGGTAGAATTAAAATTAAAATTGTTTTATTTCCCCGTGCAACGCAGAACGAAACATATTTTAAAAGAAAGTGACGCCGGAAAAGTAAAAATACAGGAGCATGTGCATTTAACATTTAATAAATAGATATCTCGTAATTTATATTTAAATTGACTACTGTATCAGCTATAACCGTAATTCTACTCTTTTGCTTCCCAGAAATATAGAGAAGCAAAGAAATTGCTGGAACTCTCTCGCGACCAATTGAAAGCTTTAAAGAGCCGGAGGGAAACATCTTAGTCAATTGTTTGCTTAGCTGCTGCAAATATTGTTGATCGGATTACCTTTCTCTGCGCTGTGGATTGCGTTCTATATAAAGTTTTAGTAGTTTAAAGCATAGCTATTAATTATATTTTGTGATATTGTACGAATATCTCTGACGAAAAATCCAGCGTTCTGTTATATGTCTTTTCTTAAGAATATATTTTATTAACCTTTTATTGGACCTTGTGCATTCAATCTGTTATGAACCCGTACGCACTGAACGCTTTTTAATGTCAGGAGTGTGGATGAATGCCAACAATAATAACTTATTTTAATGTTGTTGCTGCACTTTAAGTGTGTTAAATTTTTTAACTTAAGTTAACTTTTACCCCTGTTTCTATTAAAGTTGTCGAATACATATTTTCTGATTGGCGGTAGGTAAATCAATAGTAATTGTAATTCAATCTGGGTTGTGACTGTTTATGCTTTAAATGCTGCTGAAGAAACAATTTATATAGTGCTGACATTTTTTTATGAATTATATTGTTGTGTAATTAGTAGTTTAATTTTTAATTTCCCAAAGTCATTTGTGTTGACTTGGTTCTGAAAATTTTCAAATCCCAACCGTCGGCTTGGAATTCATTCTCGGAATCCCTTATCAGAAGATTACTGCACCCCGAAAATTCTTTCGCCCAAACGAAAAACCATATGTGCGGGTGACGTGTTGGATGTATACACTATCTGGAGTTTCCCGAAAAGATGACCTTGTTTTGCTGGACAGGCGAGCAGGGAAAGGTTATACAGAGTATTTTGAGGAGGGGGAAATAATTGTTGGGTAGGAAGCTTTACATGGTCGACTTGGACCTCGATGCGAGGCTAGATTATCCCCCCTTTGTTTTCGTCTGCGGAGATTGTTGACACATTGGTGTGGCCTTGGAGGCCGAATGATTGAACTGCGCTAACTGGCTCTTCTGGTAGTCGGGAAACCTCTTCCCGTGAAGATTTCCCTGTTTGGGTTGCTAGACTTGGCTTCCCGCTGATCACCTTCTACGCCAAATTTTCAAAAAACGCGCCAGCTATTAAAGTGGCTGCGAATTTTTTCGAAAAAAGATGAGGGAAACATTTTCGATTACACGCTTTTCTTTCTGACGGAGCCAAGGAGACTTTCTCGAAGAAAAGGAACGAGAGATGACTTCTAAGATGCAGAGCGGAGACCAGCAGTCGGGGGTTCCTGGTGAGATGAACGATTAGACAACCTACACAGAAGTAAGGCATATTGAATCAAGAATTCCTGAGTTTGACTGACTTCAGTATGGCCGTTGTTTCGGAGAAGACCGGAGTCCTACCGGTTGGAAGCGGCTGTGGGGTGGAAAGACTTGCCTCCAAAAGGGTTGCACATTATTAATTCTCATATTTTTTATCAATATCACATAATATAATTTCAAATGTATTATTTGCTACTTAACATCATTCTGTGAATCAATGTTCATACCAAATATTGTGGTAGGTAAATGTGTCTATATGGGTAACATAACAAAACATCTCAACCAATATTGTATCAATCAGATAACATAAGAGTTTGAGTAGTTATCATGGTATAACATAAAAAATAAACAATTCTAAATTTCAGGAAGTTGCGTTGTGTGACATAATGTCGGGCAAAAACCCGTTCAAAAGCTATGGTCTAGTGCAAAGTCAAATAATTAAAATAATTGCAAGGCTAAGTAGTTATTAAGGAGAAAATAGTAAGAATATAGTTACATTTTAAAATAGTGGCGACTGGTCATCCTTATATCTGAAGAAACAACTGAAAGGTTACATACCTTCTTTACACATTTAACAAATCACCGTTCACGTTTGGGAGGCATCATACAAAATTTTGGGTACTTGATACAGGCGAAAAACTCATATGGACATTGTCACGATGCAGGTAATAACAATTTTACGTTTGTAGATTACTTTTGTAGGGAAAAAAATATGAGAATTAGTAATGTGCAACCCTTTCGGAGGCCAAGCTTTCCACCCCACAGCCGCTTCCAACCGGTAGGACTCCGGTCTTCCCCGAAACACCGGCCATACTGAAGTCAGTCAAACTCAGGAATTCTTGACTCAATATGCCTTCCTTCTGTGTAGGTTGTCTAATCGTTCATCTCAACAGGAACCCCCGACTGCTGATCTCCGCTCTGCATCTTAGAAGTCATCTCTCGTTCCTTTTCTTCGAGAAAGTCTCCTTGGCTCCGTCAGAAAGAAAAGCGTGTAATCGAAAATGTTTTCCTCGTCTTTTTTCGAAAAAATGCGCAGCCACTTTAATAGCTGGCGCGTTTTTTGAAAATTTGGCGTAGAAGGTGATCAGCAGGAAGCCAAGTCAAGCAACCCAAACAGAGAAATCTTCACAGGAAGGGGTTTCCCGACTACTAGAAGAGCCAGTTAGCGCAGTTCAATCATTCGGCCTCCAAGGCCACACCAATGTGTCAACAATCTCCGCAGACGAAAACAAAGGGGGAGATAATCTAGCCTCGCATCGAGGTCCAAGTTGACCATGTAAAGCTTCCTACCCAACGATTATTTCCCCCTCCTCAAAATACGCTGTATAACCTTTCCCTGCTCGCCTGTCCAAAAAAACAGGGTCCTCTTTTCGAGAAACTCCAGATGGTGTATACATCCAACACGTCACCCGCACATATGGTTTTTCGTTTGGGCGAAAGAATTTTCGGGGTGCAGTAATCCTCTGATAAGGGATCCCGAGAATGAATTCCTAGCCGACGGTTGGGGTGTGAAAATTTTCAGAACCAAGTCAACACAAATGACTGTGGGAAATTAAAAATTAAACTACTAATTACACAACAATATAATTCATAAAAAAATGTCAGCACTATACAAATTGTTTCTTCAGCAACATTTAAAGTATAAACAGTCACAACCCAGATTGAATTACAATTACTATTGATTTACCTACTGCCAGTCAGAAAATATGTATTCGATAACTTTAATAGAAAGAGGGGTAAAAGTTAACTTAAGTTAAAAAAATTAATACATTTAAAGTGCAGCAACAACTTTAAAATGAGTTAAACAACCTTAAATGTCAAAATAAATAAACTTAAGTCACTAAACTCAAACTCAAACTAAACAACTTCAACTCAAGAAAACTTTTAAAGCAACCAAACCTAAATTTTAAAGTTTACAAAAGTTACAGTTTAAACTTACAACCAACTTTAAACAACTAAAGCAAAAAAATTTAGAACTTCAATTACAGATCAAAACTGAAATAGTAAGCAAAACTTAAGCTTGAAAATAATAGCGATTAATACATAACATTCTCCGTGTTGGTAAAAGTGAAGCCCTGTAGTATGTATATGTATTTCTCAACAGTAAAGCTATTTGGTTCATATGAACTAGTACAGTATCAGTATGTTATGTATTTCCTAAAAGTAAAGCTTTTGGTTCATATGAACTCGTACAGTATTAGTATTTTAGCAGCACAGCATTTTTGTCTACAAATTTTAATGTTTAATAGTAAGTTTTCAACATTTGTATTTTTTGTGGCATTTTTATAATTTACGTAAATTTTCTAAGGTTTTATAATGCCAAAAGATTTGGAAAAAAATCAAATCAAAAGAAAAGTTATTTCTTTAGAAACAAAAATTAAAATATTAGATCGTCTAGGTAATACAGAAAAAGTAACAGATGTTGCTAAATTTACTCCATGAACGAAGCCACAATAAGGACAATTAAAAAAGGAAGACTCTATTAGAAAAAGTGCAGCAGCTGGAACTTGCAGCAGTAAGAGCAAAATTTCATAAGAAAGAGATGATACAATGGAAAAGGCATTAGTGATATGGATTGAAGACCAAACAATTCATTCCTGCTGCGACACTTCAGGCGATTATATAATGAAACCACTGGTTATTAACAAATCAAAATCACCAAGCTAATTTAAAGGAATAAATATAAATAACTTTTCCGTTTATTGGATGGCTAATTAAGAAAGCATGGGTTACTACCATAGTTCTCAATTAATGGTTTTATAACATGTTTGCCCCAGATGTCAAAAGTTATTTTAAGTAAAAAGGGATTGACTTTTAAGGCTCTTCTCTTGATAATCCACCTGGTCATCCTCAAGATTTACAACACGAAAGTGTAGAAGTTGTCTTTTTACCAAAGATTACAGCCGTTAGATCCAGGAATAATTTCGACTTTTAAGGCATTGTATATCAAACAAACCTTCAGGTATATTTTAGAACAAATGAAGAATGATGAATCTCTTACTCTTATGGATGCTTGGAAGAAATTTACAGTCTTAGATTGTGTTAAGCATGTTGAACTGCGATGCACTCAGATTAAAGAATCAACGCTCAATGCATGCTGGAAAGCAATATGGCCGGATGCTGCTAAAGATAAGAATGATAGATTACCATTAGAGCATGAATGTTCTCAGATTACTAAATTGGCCCAAGCTGTAGGAGGAGAACGTTTTAAAGATTTAGCTCAGGCAAATATTGAAGAAATAATGGCTGATGAAGAACTAAATGAGAATGAATTAGTTAACATGACTCATGAATTAAATGTACATGATGAAGACAATGACTCTGATGAAGAGCTATTCAACCAGTTGCGCTCACAGCAAAAATCATCAGCGTAGGGCTTGAAATTGGGGAGAAAATTAGGTAACTATTTTTTACAATATGACACGAATGTTGAACGAGCTCTCCGATTCCAACGGGAGCTTAGTAAGTGCTTAAATCAATGTGAAGAAGTTTACAAAGATTTAGGAAAAAAACCTAGGCAATTGTTAATTACGAATTTCACTACAAAGTCTTGTAGATTTGGGATCTTCCCTAGTTCGTCAACCATTGAAGCAGAATTTCATCAAGAACGCTCAAGTGATGAAAGTGACATCATACCAATCAAGAAGAAAAGACTAATAGTTCATGAAAGTGATGACAGCGATTAAAAATATAATAATTTTTTGAATGGTCTTGTATTTCCCTAATGTAAAATAAATTAAATACGAATGTACTTCTGTTACCTACATATGGTCGCTATTTTATGAACTAAGTATAACTTTATTTATTTTAAGACGTCTTAACTTTCGTTTTATGTAAATAAATAACTAAATTATGCACATTTAGCGTGTTTTTCGTTTGACACGGTTTTACATAGAAAAATCCAAGATTTCGATTTACACGTTTCTGTGCGGAACATATGTTCCGTGCAAATCGAGGGATATGGTGTACTAATATATTGCCTTCCTGTGTCTACAAATAACACTAAGCCTTTTTTTTACATCTAATACATGTATGTGACACGTTTCAGCAACAAAACTTATAAAATATATCAGGTTCATTTCTCTGTATACCTATTTTTTTAAATGATTTACTTTTTTAATCTAACATACTCGTTCGTATAATAAATGTACATAATAAGCCATTATTATAGGACTGAATGTGCATCTGAGAAAGCAATTTCTGACAACTGCTGAATATCCTTGTAAGCTTCTCCATATTTTGCTTGTCCAACTTTCGCTGTTTTTCTGTCTGTGCATGTTGATATCTAAAATTATTTGTTTGTCTTATGTATGTTCGGCTCTAATGACATAATCTTGTTTTCAGCTGTTCTGTTTTCAATACAAAATGAGATTTTCATATTTTTTCATATGTACATATCTGTATCTAAAATTATTTATTCTATTTTATATTTTTGCATATCTTATATCGATTGCTGATTTATAGTAGTTTGTTCGTATATTTGGCTTTCGATGATTTTACTTGGTGTTTTGTTCTATTTTCATTATAAAATAAAGCTCAAAATTTAAGCATTTTTTGAGAAACCATAATGCTACACAATTATTAACTACTACTAAAGAACTACAAATTAACTGTAAAGTAAAAACAGTTATTCAAAATATTAGAAGTATATTAAAATGTAAATTACATTTATATCAAGGTAATATTCCATGGATAAGATTATTACCTCAGGTTACTGAAGAATACAATAATAAGCCACATTCCGTCATGAAATTCGCACCATCTTATTTAGAAATTTAGAGGATTTTTAGTCTGATTTAGTGACTTATTTAATGGTTCCTGAATTTCTTGCTTTTTATGTTTCAAGGATGGTTTTTTTACACCAGCTACAATTATGATAGAAATAGTAATAGGGTATTGTATTTTAAAGAAAAATTACCATACGATCTTTTAATCGAAAGTTAAGATATGTATCCACAAACTCAAGAAGCTAAAAAAATTGCTCAGAAAATATATGATGATTACCATAATGTAAACAAAGAAAGATATAACATTCACTTTAAAACAGGTAATTTATACCTCGTGATTTAGTAATGTACGAAGAATTTCAATGTCCTGATACCAGAAAACTCTGTTCTTCTTTTCAGGTGCTTAAAAAAATTTTTTAAAACACTATCTGAACTTTTGAAAGATGTAAATCAATTCGCTTGTTAAAAAGAATTCAAAAATTGCCCTTCTACTAGGCTCAGACCTTTAAACCTAGCAAACTAATTTAAATTAAATGTTAGGAATACAAAAATACCTAAAGCGGAAGTAATTGGTATTACCGATTGCTGATTGAAATGACGGTATTTTAAGGTTATTTTCAAACTTCCAATCATCATCCTCGTGACCTAAACTGGTTAAACTATTCAACTCACACTAGTGTCAAAAGAGAATAGTACCTGAGAAGTTTAATTATCTCGTACAAGACAAGATGGAAGATAAACATATTGCTAAAAAATTTAATTAGGTCAAATGGCTGTATTTTAAGTTCTTTTGAACGGTCAAATTTTTTAAATTATATTTCAAATAAACTAATATAAAGTCAAATATATTAGTTTGTTTGAATAATTTATACTTTTATCTCTTTAGTATTTGATAAGTAAGAAGATTCTCTTTTTTTTTAATACAGATCAGTGTCTTAAAATATAATGCACCTTCAAGTATACCATACAAGGCATCACGCTTCAATTCTGTGTTTATCAACACTCTCATGATCTCCCTTTTTGCGGTGGTAGTGGTATATCTATATGCATGGACCAGGTAATTGCAAACTCTGTAGGCATTTTAAATTTTTTTATAGCTTAGAGCGACTATTAGTCTCGAACACAAACGATTTTGTGTTCATTTACTTTTAAGTATCCTCCACTGTAAATGCGTTTTTAACTTTCATTCGTACCTGTGGCCATTCGGCAAAATATAAGATGTTGTACCTTACAAATGCAATATTAGAAATGCAATTTCGTTAATTTGTTTACCAAAATCTTTTTTAAATTAATCATATACGTGCTGCATATCTGTTATACTGAATAGTATTTAATTATCGTTATTTGTTTATTTAACATTTATTTATTGTTGTCTTTTGTTTCAGTCTCGAACCTTCACTGGGATGTAGCCCATTTCGATTTTATCGAACTGTATTTCAAGTGGTTACAGACGCAGTGAAAGAACTTTCTTCTGGTTTCCTAAATTTCTTATACTTTATATTTCAAGGATGGTTTTTTATACCAGCTACAATGCTAATAGGGTAATGCATTTTTCTTAATATTTATTTAATACATTATATGACATTAAAAGTGACGCGCTAAGTTTCCCCAATGGGACGAAATTATCTATGTCCATACCTTACGATAAAATATGCAAATTATTAACTTTTGTGGAGTGGTGGAGCTCCAGTGCATTGCAGGGAAGTAATGGTAATCCAATGGTAATTGAGACGCTAAACTGTTCCACCAATCCAGGCGTGAGCACCACAGTATATCCAAAAAATGGTGTATTAAACAGAGGACATTCAATACTAAAAGCATAACCCTTTAGCGAGTGCGGTGCTGTCGACCTACATAGACTATATCAATGCTTCGCAGACGACTTCGCGAGCAATATGAGAAGATATCACCAGCTAAGAGAGAACGTGCATCTGGCCGTACCAATAAATACTATGTTTGACTGACACTCCTGAATTTTGTCTTCCGAGCTGTTTTGCAATACAATTTTTTGGAAGTTTCAGCCCTCTTTCGATATAAGAATCTGCCAGTATATTTTGGTGATAGCAGCTGCAAATGCTGCAGTATCTGTTCTGAAATGCGTAAGCACTGATGCTGTTTATATCACGCTGAGTAGTTAGACCTACACATAATATACAATTTAGGAACTTTTCGCTAGTCGATTTATGCTAAGCATCGAACACCACTCCCAGTTTTGGAGTTGCCGTAGCGTTATTTGGCGCTTCTTAAATTTGTGTGCCATGGGTAATAAACGTGAAACTACTTCCTATTTTGTGTCCTCTAGCTTTTCAATGGAATCTTAAAATTGAATCCTGGCGAAGAAATATGCCTTTCATAATATTATTCTTCATCTGTTAATTTAGTAACCCTTCGAAGCTATTCTTCATTTTTTCCGAATGGCTTCAGAGCTTCATCAATGTTTAGGTACAGCTCCCATGCGTCACTGCACTAGATACAGAGTAACATAATCATGGCACATATAATAAGTCTGGGCTATAGTGCTTCAGTTCTGTAGCAATAATCGATACAAAACACCAGCATGATTAAGCTTTGTCCCCCGACAGTGTAAAACAGTTATATGTTTCGAATGTTAATGACCAGCGTTGCAACTTTGATGATTGTGAAGCATCCTTGGTGATACATAAGAAGGTATGACAACTTCAGAAGCAGAAACTTAGGCGATTGTAAAGGAAATATCCTTCAGAGAAGTAGAAAAAAGAAAGAATGATCCTCATCTTTGACTTACGAAATTTTTCCAAAAGTAGGCAATTTGTGCAAAATTTTCATATAAAGATATCATCTGGATAAAGCAATAGCAAGCTACAGGATTTCCAATGACACTATAATGTATGTCCAGTGTTAATGCCCAGCATTGCAACTTTGGCGACTCTGAATCATTCTTGGTGATAAATACGAGGAGATGACAACTTCAGAAGCAGTAACTTAAGGCGATTGTGAAGGAAATATCTTCAGAATAAAAAGAAGAATGAAAGAATGATCCTAATATTGGTCCCCTGAAAGTTTTGCAAAAGTTGGCAGGATGCAAAATTTTTATTTAATATTAATTTTCCTAATAATTCTTTATACAAAGGTATTATCCCAATAAAGCTGTAGCAAGCTACAACATATGGATTTTCAGTGACACTATCAAATGTTTCTTTAAAAGTATTTAAGTTAACTGAAGCCGTCCAGACGGTATAGTGGTTAGGGGGGCCTACTGCGGTACCGAAGGGCCCGGGTTCGAATCCTGGAGAAGGCAGGGATGTTTGTAAATGTATTATGTATTTGAAGCATGGGGGCAATCTAATATATGGCGAGCCGAAAGTCCTCTCATGTAGTTTGGTGGTAGGGAAGATGGCTGGGAGATTCCCGGACCACCGCCCAGGGTGTTGTCTCTCAAAATTGGGGTAGAAAATAGAAGTTCAACCAACTTGAGGCTCTGTCAACAATTCTTTCATTAAATTGCATGGATAAGACAACAACAACATCAAGTTAAATGGAGGCCCAGTAAGTCTCAAGTATAGTCGAGTGATGCTAAGACATGAAAAATTGATGCCTCAGGAAGGTAGTTACCTAATATTTTTATGGAAAGAAATACCTCTTTTCCAAACAATAGCATCTCTTTCCTTCCTCGTCATCATTACATACGCCGTTCCACATTCTATGCTTCCTACATACTTACAGGTATGGTAAAATTGAATTATGCTATGAGCTAAGTTCTCAAAGTACGATTGCAAAGTTTAAAGAAATAATCGTCTGGGCTTTAAGAACAAATTAATCAATTTTACACTAATTCCTATGAGGAAAATGATTTTAGTTCACAAACTTTTCGCGAACAGAATTCAGGAGCGAATTAAATTCTTGAAACGAAGTTTTACTGCATAAACTCTGCCCTTAATTTTTGTTTCTGGATAAAACGTTTAGTATAGTTTAATTCTCTTGAACTGCTATTTCTAGATCTATCATATTCTACTACTGGAGACTGCTTCAAATACTGAAATGCCTGGTACGGAGACTGAGAGGTCAGCTGCTTCTACAGGGTCGAGATAAACAATTTCTCATCAGACGATTGACGACTCTGGATGAGAAATGATTTCTATTATTTGCCTCTCAAAAAAAAAATATTGTTTTACCTATCTTTAAAAGTAAGAGTAAGCTGTTTTAAATGTAGGAATCTATATTTTCTGAATAACATTTTTTATGCATTTTATACATTCTTTGTAATTTTAAATTTTATAATTTAACTTTGATTGGATTGACGATAATATTTACTTTAAAGTAAGCTTTAAATAAATACGAGAGAAATTTTAAAGTATAAAATATATAACTAATACTAAATCCTCTCCATATTTCTTTTCAGGGAATTCTTCTGGACTTCATTTTATTCATATGCGCACTTATTTGTACATCCAGTGGACGACAACAGATATTTCTGACTAGAAATAGACCATGACATGTGGGAAGAATTTCTATATAAATATCTTTTTTAATCAAAATTTTTCTGTGCAGCACATAAATGTAGAAAATGAAATATTTACTTTATTTTTCTTTGGACCTAGCTTAAGGTTTGCTGTTTCCTGAATTGCAGACGGTTCTGCAATTTAATTTGTCAAAAGCGGCAGAATTTTTTTATATTTTCCCACTTTTTTGCGCCCTTTTATTTTAGAAGTGTTTAATAATTTTTTTCATTCACCACTTCTGTTTGTGCATATCGTTATCAACAAGACAGCAACTTTAGATGCACTGCAGAGTTATTTAAAAAATTAGCCTCTTATTAAAAGAATAGCAACTGGAATATTTCAAAATTTAATCTCCAAGGAAAAAACGTTCCTTCAATTTCATATATATTCCAAATTGAGATTAAAGGAAAGCTAACTTCATACAAAGTATTTTTTTTTCTTCATTAATAATTTTATTAATAGTTCGGACAAATTATCTTGTTAGTGCTTAAATTAAATGAATAAGTATACTTTGTAAGAGGAGTGTATACATTCCTAATAATTCTTTAATGCAACAAATGAAGAGAAAAGTCTTTGTTAAAAAAGTCATCTATTACATTACATACTGTAATTTTTTTTTTTTGGGGGGGGGGGGGTCTTGATATCAGCCAGATGACCTTGCTGACTAAATTTGTAATGCTTCCTAAAGACTATGCCTCGCTTTCCATCTTCTTTAAAAAGAAGATGGAAAGCAAGGCATAGAAAAGAAGCAGAATTATATTGTTCATTATTTATGTTTTGAACACATTAAATTTATTTTGAATAAGGTTCTACTGTAGGCTTATAGTCAGGCCACGCAACTATTCTTGATATATTAAAAACCACCTTATTGTATCACCAATAACTCTTGATGTATTCAGTATTTATTGTTAGTGGCTTTAAGGGTTGCCAGATTAAGTAAATCTGCTACAAGATCACAATGAATAACGAAATTTCTTGAGTACAAGCAGAAATATATAAAACTTTAATAATGTATAAAATAATGTATAAAACTTTTTTAGTCTGAAATACTTGTCTTTTCATATGATATACCATATTTCATTCGAAAGCAGTGTAAAACAGTATAGGATAAATTATTACGAGTTTTTGTCTGAAGATTTGTTCGTAATTTTTCTATGGGTCAAGATACACATGAACTCTTTATTTCTCTTACGAGAAGTTTTCTGCATAATTTCTGTACAGATAAATTTTGAACTTAACAGATGATTTACAAATACTAAACATAATTGACATTTGAGCCTTTTTGCTCTAAACGAGCTGTGTATTAAAGGAACACTAAAGATTATTTCTTCTGAAGAGAGTAGGAAAATATTGTTTAGCTTAACTGATAACATAATTAATAATTTTTAGCCGTAATTCCTTAATTTAATTATTTCAGTATACCATTTCTCCGGACTCCGATTTTCTATACGAAAAGACCTTCAAGTTTTCGACAGATTATAGAACTTTCTCTTGCGGGACGCAAGACAACGAATGTTTTATTTTACAAATTTTGTCCTAAATTTTAAAGTCGAAATTTCTATCGTAATACAGTTTCTGCCTTGCTTTTGTGATACCCGAAATTGGCACTGCTTCATTAATCAGTTTCTGTACATCTGTTAATTTAAAATCTGCATCCCGTTTTTGTACAAAAAACAAAATTATCTTCCTCTCCTAAGTCTGCTGCCGTTTTCCCGGTAGTTTCATATTTTGCTATTCTTAGATCAAAAGTCGATTCTTTGACGGAGCCATCCGTGCGGCGGTGGTAGCCTTCAATATAGCTACGAATAATTTTAACTACATTCCTGCACACGCGCTCTGCAGTATTTGATTGGGGCCGATAAAAACCATTTTTCAATGAAGTATGCCAAGCCCTGTGCTTAGATCTCCGAATTTTTAGCCAACAAACTAGAGACAGGATAAAATACGGTGCACCACTTAGATAACCCTAAGTGGTGCACCATATTTTAAGATACATTTATTTAAAAAAAAGTTAGATACGATTTTAGCTGGGGCTATTTTAAGAGGAACTATTTCTACCCCTTTCGAGAAATGATCCACAATAACGAGCAAGTATCTAGTTTCATTAATGTCACTGTGCAGGTATGAACCTAACAAATCTATTCCTGTTCATTTATTTGGGAAAGTAGCTTTTATGCTATTTAGGTACCCGGTCGTACTATAATTTACATCGCTAACTAATTGGCAAATATGGCAGAACCTGAGACATTCTGTCACAAATTTTTCAAGTTGCAGAAAAAATATCTCCTCACACATCCTTTCCACCGTTTCTATAATGCCAAGACTGCCTACAGTAGGTACTTCATGCAATTCTTTCAAAATACTGTGCCGTAAACTGGTTGGAATGACCAGTCTTAACTCATTATTCTCATTGTCTGTTTTAGAATAAAACAAGTGATTTTCAATTACTTCTTAATTTGCTGCTTTATTCCTAATGGCCACTATGATCTGGTGTTCAAAATTTTCAGGGTCTTTTAAATATGCATACACATGTCTAAATTCTAGCTCAATTCGGCAATAATAGTTGCGCGAGAGTCCAAGATATTCTACGGTATCATATCACATTTTATCTCATTGCCTTCTTCGTCTAATTTTATTCATGATAAAGCATCGGCCACAATGTTGTCTTTCCCAGATATATATTTGATTCTCGTATTTTCGTAGTTTCTCGTAGTTTCAATGCCCATCTAATGAAGTCTTGGAAATGACTTTTTTTTCCTGACTACAACCGACTCCCAGTAGCCTAATCAGATTATACAGTTGCTCAAAAAAGTCTGCGCACAACTACTATATATTTAAAAAAAAAAAAAAAAAACAGCAGGCATAAAAGTAAGGAAATTTTTTTTTCATTTTTAAGCTTTTATTTACATCTGTGCAGGTTTCTTAATATCCATATGCTTGATAGTCTCAAACTTACAATAACAATTTGTTGCACGAAACATCTAAAAGAAACAAAAACAAAGAAATTAAATCAAAAAAGTTTGCGTGCACTTCTGCAATTTATATGATCAATTTTCTTAACCCAATTACTTAATGTTTAATAGGTTATCTATTGTGTTTAATTACAGCCTGTAGTCTTTTATTCTTTGAATGAACAAGCTTCTCAATTACGGATGGAGTAATTTTTGCCATTTCTTCTTTCAATTTGCATATTAAATCAGTGTTTGATATTATATTGTGTTTTCAAATGTTTGTTTCAAGTTTTTTCCCACAGATGTTCTATTAGGTTAAGGTCTGGAGATTGAAGAGTGTCTGTAGCTGTCTAGGAATATGATACATCAGGTATTCTTTAATTATCCTAGATATATGCTTAGGATCATTGTCTTGTAGAAAAATGAAATCATCTTTAAAACTCCCAGTTTTTCGGCACTTGTTTTAAAATTTTTCTTTAAAATGTCTAAATAAACAAATCTATACATTATTCTGTCTATTATATGTAACCTTAAGACTCTATTAGAGGACATACACCCTCAAACCCTAACACCACCTCCTCCATACTTGAATAATTGCAAGCAAAGTTTTCACTTCTAATTCCTGATTCGGCTTTGCCCAAACTATACAGCGATCAGTTTCAAGTTAAAAATGGTAAATTTGATTTCGTCTGACCCGATTATTTTGTGCCAGAATTATTCAAATGGCTTTTTCGCAAATTCAGTTCTTTTTTCCAATTAATCTATAACGTTGCGCGCCTCCAAATTGCACGCAACCAAGAGGTGACTGTGAAAACTTGTATAAAAGATAGAGCCTTGTGAAGGGTTTAAGTCCCTTTTTATTCAACGTAATAAATTACAATTGCGTGCTCTTGACGCTCACAGACTGTGCCAACTTGGCTGTCAAATAAAAATAATAACCTGAAAAGAAAGTAAAGACAAGATTCTAACTACGAGGCTCTCTAAAATAACTAACTCACCGCGTTTTACAATATCGCTGCTAATTCAGCAGACTTGAAGCTCACTGGAACGATTACCACTACTTCCCGCCAAGCACATAGGCCGAAACGCGGGGTTCTTCAATTTCTCGCAAACTGCCTCCGCGCTCGTGAAGTAAGAATACCGAACTTGTTTCCTTCTATTTAAATCATAATACTTCCGCTGATAATTTGAATGCTTGCGCGTTCCTCAAATTTACATATTCTGGCATTGGCAGTTCCAGGGGAAAGTAAGGCTTGACAGGAAAGATAGTTTAAACTTAAAATAAATGTTAGTTAAAATAAATATAAACCCTACATTTGCCGCTGCCAGAATTTGGAAAACTTGGAAGCAGGTCCTACAAACGACCTGTTGTAAGTTTCTCTAATTCTGAACTAATTGGCGAGAACCTCGTTTACACAAAAAAAATATCTTATATAACCATTTGTATACTAAAATTCTGTTGATCGTTACAAAGGTTTCTTCTTACAGCAACTTTTCCTGGACTTCATCAATCAATCTTGGTCTTTCCTTCCAGCATCTGGAAGGAATAAGTATCAGTATCTTTCTACATACATTATAATTTACACTTTCTTGACACAATAAATTTTTGTTTTTAAACGATTCGTTTTTCTTAGTTATTGCTTACTTCACATTCATTCAATTTTTCAAGCATTAATTTAACTTTACCCTGGCTCTCCACCGTGTGTGGTGTCAAACGGGAATATTCGTGTTTTAGTCTTACAACACTTCCCCTAACCACCATGATTTGTTAGAATTCAACGACCAAATAGACACACCTTACTCGACATTCTACAACTCAATGAGCTACTTTAATATTCTTAAAAAATTCAAATGTAGGTGGAGAACCCTACAAAAAAAACACATTCATTCTAACTTCCCCCTCATTCATCTTTAAACATGCAGGCTTTCGCTCTAAAGCATGACTTTATCTACAATTTACTACTTAAATTTTGACTTCATTGCTTTTAAGCATTCACTTTTAGCATCTACAATTTTATGCTTCTAGACTAAATTCTACTTTTACATAACATGCAAGTATTTACATACATTTACGAAAGTTTAATACATATGCTTTTTACAATTTACCATAAAATGAATAAGAGAAAATAAATTTTTACTTTACTCATTCTTCGCCAAGCTGGCGGCACTGAAAGTAAAATTCTTATTAATACAAGAATACGAAGTTATTTTTATCTTCGGCCAAATTTTGACTTTAACATAACAGAATTAGTCTTTCGACCAACAGAAAATGCTTGTTTTTAGCTTTTACACTTAAAGAAAATAATACTTTTGCCTTAGCTAAATAAAGTAAAACAAAACTAAGTCTCAACCGAGACATATTGACTTTCGTCAAAACATAGAACTTCGTACCTATGCATAACATTTCGGAACAACAGAGAAAAAAAAATTATAGAATGTTTTAACTTATCTTTGAGTTTTCGATGCTTGAAACTCCGTCATCCGTTTTTGGCAGAATTGATCCCAAGTTAGAGGTTTCATGGATGTCAATCTTCTCCTTATTGATCTCCGAGTGTCATCCACGTTGCTTTTTCTTTTGCGTCCTCTACATGCTGGCCTCTTGGCGGAGTAATCGTCTGGTTGTTGGCATTTCCGTTTCTGCCTGGGACGGCTGGTCTTGACGTCCTCCGGTCTGGAGTCCTTCTTGAATTTCTTCTGTTCCTCGTATTTTTGTGCCTCCTGCTGGCATTTCAGTTTCCGAAACGGCGGCCTTGCTGGCACCTGACTCTGTGGCCGTGTGCGCGTTCTCCTTGATGTGTAATTTCTCCTGCTATCCTTTGTAGGTGGTGTTTTCTCTTTACCACGGTTTCTTTACCCGGTGCTGCATCTGTATTTTTGTTTTTCTTAAACGCTGGAGTTTGAAAATTATTTTTTCTTTTTGATACCGACGTCCGGGTTGTAGAAGTGCTAGGTCTCTCTTCAGTTCTCTGTTTCTTGGGTGGTGGAATAGTTGTTGTAGTCTCTGAACCTTCGTTTAGACTTGAGTCCTGCAAGAAACTTTTAAGGATTTCAAAATCATTTGGATTATAGTATTTTTTCACCTGGTCGGGACTTGCT